TGTTTGTGGGAGCGGAGCGGAGGGAGGGAAGGGTGGACGATGGTGAAGGAAGGTTGTTGGAGAGAGAGGAGGGAGAATAAAATGGCAGCGAGAAGGGATATCGAATGCTCGAGAGTCAACTCAAGAACAGGACAAGTTCATACTCGTCCACCCTCAGCTCCTCTGCTACCCTCTTCCATCTCCCCTCCTTTTCGCATCCCCTCCTCTCCCCACGCCCCCCCCCCCCTCCTCCTCCTCCTCCTCCTCCTCCTCCTCCTCTCTCTCTCTCTCTCTCTCTCTCTCTCTCTCTCTCTCTCTCTCTCTCTCTCTCTCTCTCTCTCTCTCTCTCCTGCATCTCTCTCTCTCTCTCTCTCTCTTCATCTCTCATCTCTGCTACCTGAACGGATCCATCGCAGGCTGCGCAATGATCTCCCTTGTCAGCCTGACCACCTTCCTCCACTCCTCCTTGTCCTGCCCGAAAGGCGTCAGGAACTTCGCTCCAAGTAACCAGACACGGCAGGCAGGCAGGCAGGCAGGAGTCAACCTGGTCGTGCGTGAGGTAGTTGAAGAGGATCTTGGGGTGGTCCTGCACGTTCCTTGTGCGAGCAAGGATGTGCCCTCGACTCTTCGATCTCATCGGGCCGCAATGAGCCTGAAGACAACAACACGTCACTGACCTCCCGACGTCCGTCCTGACCTGCCTCCTACATTGGTCTTCGAGTTTTGTCCTCACCTTTCTTCTCCTCTCTGCTATCTCCTCTCCGCTCTCCTTCTGCTCTGCTCTGCTCTGCTCTGCTCTCCTCGCTCTGCTCTGCTCTGCTCCTCTTTGCTCGACTCTTGCCACCTTTTTCCAAGTCTCCTTCTTTGTCCTACAACTCTCTGCCCTCCAACAGTCTCCAGCACTTGTGTACACCGCCATTTCGTTATCACCTGAAACCCATGGCCTTCTACGACGCTATTCCCATCGTACGAAGCAGCCACAGGCATGAAATGGTACTGTAAACCATTACAATCATATTGCTGTTGCTGCGCTGAAAATAAAATAGAAAAGACGGTGAAAGAGAAGATTCCATGGAAGTCAGAATCACAAACACTGTTGCTAGCATGATCGAGACTATCCAAACTATCGTCGTCGTCGTCGTCGTCGTCATCATCATCATCATCATCATCATCATCATCATGGCAAACGTCATGCATCGACATCGACATCAACATCTTAAACATCTTCACCAACAACATCAGCATCACGACAAATTTTCGCTGCAATCCAACTCGTCAAACACGCAAATTCAACGGCAGCCTCGTCTCTCATCTCAGCCATCGCACAAGATTGCCTGGATGTCTGGATATTCTATCCCGGCGTCACTTCTGATGAACCCTGAAACACGCCATCTTGTCAACCAGGATCTGACGACTTTGACGACTTTGACTAGTACCTGCCGCCTCCATGTGGTTCGTTGCCCCCAGCCCCTTCCTCGTCAAGATCCATTGGATTCCAATCCTGAGCTGAATCCCCAGCTCACCACCAGCACCCGCCGCAAACTTTTGTCAGCACCTTCCCGATGATGTTGAGATGGTCGTAGAGGGAGACAGGCTGCTTGCATCTGTGCAACGACGGAAGGCAGGTGAGGAGGAGGAGATGAGGAGGAGGAGGAGGAGGAGCAGCAGCAGCAGCAAGAGAGGAACCGTGGGAGGGGGTTGCAGCAGCAGCAGCAGCAGCAGCAGCAGCAGCAGCAGCAGCAGCAGCAGCAGCAGCAGCAGCAGCAGCAGCAGCAGCAGCAGCAGCAGCAGCAGCAGCAGCAGCAGCAGCAGCAGCAGCAGCAGCAGCAGCAGTAGCAGCAGCAGCAGCAGCAGCAGCAGCAGCAGCAGCAGCAGCAAGCAGGAGTGAGCAGCAGCGAGCAGGAGCAGGAGCAGCAAGAGGGATAGATGGAAGAGGAGGAGCAGAACTATCTCAACCTGTACTGAAGGAGGAGCTCGAGGTGATCTTGGAGGTTCTGGCGTCATAAGTTTACAAGACCGTCACGTCCCCTCTCGAGTCTGACTTGCCCGACGCCCGGCAGATGATGACAAGTCTCCACCCCGATGCTGCTCAGATGGCTGCTGTCACCGACACCCGACAGCTGCAGGAGCAGTCAGAGGGACGGGAGCGGGAGGTGGGACGTGAATGGATGTCACCTGCAGCAAATGTGGCGACCCAACTGCTCCAGCACTCAAGATCGTTTCGCGTCTTGCACGAGCTTGTTTCTGAAACGGCAGCAAATGTATCAGTTGTCAATCTGCAGTCCATTTCTTTGCTCTATCCCTTCATACCATCCCCTCTCTTCTCTTCCTCTCTCCGCATGTTTCTCCTCTCTCCTCTTCTCTTATCCGACATCTTCTCCTCTCCTGTCTTCTCGCTCACCTCAACATTGCCAACTTTATACTTGATCCCCACCGCCTTCTTCCCCTCGAGAACAACCTTTTTAACTCTGTGCTTCAAGTCAGATCGAATGTCACAACAACAATCCAGACACAACAGAGCGTTCGAGACGATCTTGAGATTCTTTCTTCCCTTAGCTGGTCTGCCGCATGCTCAAATCAGAGCTGAGAGTGACTTTCTTGATGGTTTCACCGCAGGAACGCGTTTGCCGTACTCGCTCGCACCCCGTCCTTGACAGTCATCGCCATCTTTCCAAACCCTTCTTGCCTAAGTTGGAAACAAGTCAGGATCCGCAAGACGAGGTTGGACTTGGGAAAGAGCGTTTGGGAGAGAACGAAGGGTAGCGAATAACAAGACGAAAGGTCGATGGTTTCAGCAAAGGAAAGGAGTGGAGGGAAAGACAACCTCGAGGAATGTTGCAAGATAGGTCAAGGAGGTGGAGGGAGGGGGGGAGGGGAAGGACATAGAGCGGCAGATAGCGAAGACTTAGAGCAATGAGCAGGCAGGAGAGCAAGAGAGATGCTGATGAAAATGGAACCATCCAAAGCAGAGTAGAGAGGTTTCTCGTCTGTCCACTTTATACCTGTAACCGTTGTAGTCTTGGGTTGCCCCGTAGCCAGCCTGTCAGGTTTCCGTGATCTTCACCGTCCTAACTCTCTCCCCTTCTCTCTTCTTCTCTCTCTCCCTTCCTCTACCTCATCTTTCACTTCTCCCCCCCTCCCCGCTCTTTCCTTCTCCTCTCTTACCTCGATTCCCGCATCAATGAAGGCTCGGTACAACGGGTTGACAACCGGTCCGTTGCAGACTGTGAGAGGCCCATCTTGACCCCTCCAATCAGGGTCGTTCGTCTGCATCCAACTCAGTTTGTTGGAATGCCGTGGCCCAGGGCAAAGAAAGATGTTGCAAAAGTGGATCAGCACACTGTGGCGAACACAGGTGCTGATTGGTTTCTTGTCAGCATGTCGTGATCGATGGCAATCAAGATAGTTCACAAGAGTGGAGATGGAGCAAGGAAATAGGATCATGATGCGATAGAAATCAACAAACACTGTCAAGAGGACGAGGACGAGGAGGACGAGGAGGACGAGGACCCAAGACAAGAAGGACGGGGCAAGAGACGGACTAGCACACAACATGATCCTCCATTTCTTGCAGTGAAGAAGAGCGACTCAACCCCTCACCTCCCTCCATGTCTCCATCTTCTTGAAGTAAGGCAGACAATGTCTGCAAGAAACAACGATTAAAACCCAGCTCAGAAGCCCAACATGGAACAACCGGAAGGACCATTCTCTGGCACCATGCTCCTCCTCCCAGTGGTCGAAATCCCTCGCATTTCCCCGCACAAACACCATCCCGTTGATAGAGGAAGACCCTCCAATCACCTTCTCACGCCCTCACTGGCTCAAACTGCTCCTGATGCTCTACCTTTCCTCGAGGACAGTGAAGGCGACGACCTCCTAGCCCGGGCTCAGGCTCAGACTCAAAGAACCAGTTGTACTTCTGCTTGCCAAGACTCAACTTTGACATGTCTGCGACAAAGAACATCCACGAAAACCTTCATGTTCATAGGGATGGCGAGGCAGGTCGGCATGTGGATGAAGATACTGCGTCATCAACACTGTCATCCCCCTTTTAAACGAGCAAAATCGGATCTTCACCTTCTAGGGTCTTGAACGTCACTTCCTCCATACTCGATCAGCAGCACTGAGTGATTCCTGCTGACAAGATCAACAACCGGCTGTTCAATCTCGACCATGTTTACCCCGATTCTGTCAGCCTGTTCGCAAGGACGCATCCTGCCGACCCTGCTCCTACGATGACGTAATCAAAGCTTTCCTCCTCCCGGCTACTCTCGCCCTCCCCCGATGCTGTTGAGAAACTTCTTCGCCCGCGCAAAGGATCAGCCTGCAGACAGGAGGCAGCATGGCGAGCTCTGAACGGATCTCTACCCCTTGCGGAGGTTGGAGGTAGCCATATACGTGATCGAACATCTAACACCGGCGTCTTGCTGTAATGCTTGATCGATGACACCAACGGTCTCATCTTGTTTCGACCTATCTTCGACATAGTGCTCATGTATGGCGACATGAACATTTCGCCCTGCAGGGACTTCATGTGAGAAAAGAAGGTTCAGATGTGTTGGAGATGATGGTGTTTCAATGTGTTTCTCATGTTCGAGTCACTAACATCTCACTCCTTTTCGTTTTCGTCTCACGTTCTCCCCACGTATCCTGTAGAATACTTCTTTGCTGTCCTTTCCCTTTTCGCATCGCGAGATTGCCTCTGCCTTGTCCCTCCCTCTCATCAAAGTCTTGCTGGTATCGTTCCATCTCATGTCTTCAACTGTTTTCCAACACAAACTGCTCTCGCTGTCATGATCCTTCCATGTCTCTGTCCTTCGCTCCACTCTCCTCCTCCCTCCCTTCGCTCGTCCCTAGATTCCACCATTGAGTCTCACCAGCCCCCTACCTCACTACCTACCCCTTTTACCCCCTACCCACCACCTAAAACGACAACAAATGATATGAAAGGAGGGGTACTTACATATAAGGTGTGTGGGTTGTGGGGTCGACTCTGCTACCAAACATACAATCCCTGAGACCACCCTCATTCTCTTCACCCTACCCAGGTCTCTCCCTACCCCTTCATGGTGCAAAACAACGGGTAGTCAGACGAGCTATACGTGACTAACCCCCCGTATTTACTGTTGAAATCAGGGTATCAAGTGTGTTTTCGACACTGCCGTGGGCAGAAATGATTTGGTACCCACCTCGCAATTGACAGTACCCCCTTTTGATTTGATTGCCTCCACTACGCCTCATGCTAGTACGCCTGCTCGCTGGGACGGAGGCCCGGGGCTACTGACTCGGTCACTGACTCCCGATCGGGGGCCCCAAGCCGGCCCGGGCCGATGCTAGTATGATGATCACCGTGGCACCGTGCCGTGACTGATTCCCACCGACTGAGCCCGGGCCCGGCGGCCATCTTAGGTGCGGCCCAGCGCCGCGGCTTCACCGGGGCAGTGGGCCAGTGCCGCGGCCCCCGGGATTGTGGGCCTGTACCGCCGGGCGGTCGGCGAGGCCCGCATGCTTCGCCTCCGGCCCCCGGGCCGGGGCGTCCGATCCGTGAGTCGGAGCCTTTTAACTTGTGACTCCGAGTCCGAGATCGAGTCTGCTAAAACCGGAAACAAATATCTAAACACGGGGAACTGAGCTCACTCAGAAGATGAGGAGGAGGAGGAGGAGGAGGAGGAGGAGGACTCCTGTATTTCCCCCACTGCCCTATGCCTCCCATCATACCAAAGTTTACTCAAAGTCACTTGGGTCGTCATGACCACAGCTATCCATCAATAATAGTTTTACAAATGCCCAATCGTCGCGTTCTAGCCTCCTTCGGCCTCCCTTCCCGAAAAGCAGCTTGATGACTCCCCTTCGCAAGAAGCTTCTAAACCCCCTCTATCTCCCTGTAAGCCCTTACCAGACCCCCGCATCGCTCCTCTACTTCATCCCTCCCCTTCCCTCCTCTCCTCCCCTACCGCAGCCATGCCCCACGCCTCGCCCTCGCCCCCGACCTTCTCCATCGCCCTCGTCAGCCTCTCCCTCTCTCGCGCCTCCTCCCCCGCTGCTGCCCGCCCTCCCCGCGCCTTCAAGCTCTCCTCGTCCCAGCAAGCCTACGTCGACGCCCACAGCCCGCCGTCGGAGCCGAGACCGGAGCAGGACGAGCTGCAGGAGCTGCAGCAAGACAAGGGCCCGAGCAAGCGAGTCAGCGTCAGCTCGGCTGGGCGGGAGCTGCTCCAGGGCGTCCTCGAGGCGAGGAAGGCCCGGGCTACAGCGCGCACGTCGAAAAGGGGTAGGAGCTGGAGGGAGGAGATGGCGAGGGCAGAGCCGCTGGAGGATCTGCCTAGTGCGTGATCATAGGAGTCGAGTTGTAGAGCAGCATTCTTGTACGGGACCTGTAGAGTAAATACCTTCGTGATGCTACCCATGACTTCCATACTATCAAAAGTTTCATGGCGAGACTGACGGAGGCGAGTGTATGATTACCTACATGCTGCATGAGCTGACAGAGAAGGTCAGGCGTTGATTATCTGATCATTCTTTATGCTACAGCTATTTGCCCCCGGCCTTCTCAATCGTCCTCGTCAGACTCTTGCTTTCTCGGCTCCCCACGCCGTTTGGCTCTCAGAGACTCCCCATCCCAGCAAGCCTACGTCAACACCCGCCGACCTCCTTCAGAGCCTCTGCCCAAGGGGGAGGAGGTAAGGAAAGAGCAGGGGAGTCAGGGTCAGGTCTACTGGGATGGATTCGTTGATTGCCGAGGAACGATTGTTCGGATTCGGAATCCTCCCACGCACAAGCAACGGCTTCACTAGCCTGACAACTGATGTCGGGCCGCCAGACACTCCAGGCTCAGTGGACGGAGAAACTGACCCTGGTAGCTCATGCTGCAAGAAAGCAGGGACGTGCTTGTGTCCAAGTCAGGTCGGACAGCCCTCAAAACCGAGGAAATGACCACAGAACAAAGAGGAATAACGATCATGCGAAGAAAGATCTTGGCACCCTCCCCTCCCCCGACCTACCACCCCCCCCACCCCATTGCGTTTTCCCGGGCTCAAACCTTAGCCAGTCCGTAGTAGCCAAGAGTTCTGGTTTGAGAGCTGTCGATGGTCAGCCAGGAGGACTCAGAAAGGTTATGAATCACTTACACCGAACCAGGACATCCCCAAGTAGCGTGACGTTATGGGAGATGCCTCACAGCCATGACTAGACTGAGGAAAAAACGATCTACACTCCCCACATTCTACACCGGGATATCAAATGTCGCAGCCCCTACCCCCCCCAGCCCCTCTGTAAAAAGCTTCTAAACCCCCTCTATCTCCCTGTAAGCCCTTACCAGACCCCCGCATCGCTCCTCTACTTCATCCCTCCCCTTCCCTCCTCTCCTCCCCTACCGCAGCCATGCCCCACGCCTCGCCCTCGCCCCCGACCTTCTCCATCGCCCTCGTCAGCCTCTCCCTCTCTCGCGCCTCCTCCCCCGCTGCTGCCCGCCCTCCCCGCGCCTTCAAGCTCTCCCCGTCCCAGCAATCCTACGTCGACGCCCACACCCCACCGTCAGAGCAAACGCCCAGGAAGCAAGACGAGCTCCAGCAAGACAAGGGACCGAGCAAGCGAGTCAGCGTCAGCTCGGCTGGGCGGGAGCTGCTCCAGGGCGTCCTCGAGGCGAGGAAGGCCCGGGCTACAGCGCGCACGTCGAAAAGGGGTAGGAGCTGGAGGGAGGAGATGGCGAGGGCAGAGCCGCTGGAGGATCTGCCTAGCGAGATGTAAAGCAGCATTCTTGTACGGGACCTGTAGAGTAAATACCTTCGTGATGCTACCCAAAGTTTCATGGCGAGACTGACGGAGGCTGATCTGATCATGTCCTATGCTACAGCTATTTTCCCCCGGCCTTCTCCATCGCCCTCGTCAGACTCTTCCTTTCTCGGCTCCCCACGCCGTTTGGCTTTCAGAGACTCCCCATCCCAGCAAGCCTACGTCAACACCCGCCGACCTCCTTTCAGAGCCTCTGCCCAAGGGGGAGGAGGTAAGGAAAGAGCAAGGGAGTCAGGGTCAGGTCTGCTGGGATGGATTCGTTGATTGCCGAGGAACGATTATTCGGATTCGGAATCCTCCCACGCACAAGCACCGGCTTCAGGGAGGCTTCGTGGAGTCGCTGGAGGACGTGACGGAGATGGCGAGGGCAGAGCGGTGGGCGTAGGAGAGGAGGTAGCAGAGGAGTGTACAGTAGAGACCCCTTTCAGTCTTGGGGAGCGTGTAGAATAAAGCCAAGGCTGACGCAGCCGTCTTGTTGCTGACCGGGAGTCGATGTTGGGGTCTCGGCACCTCTCATGCCTCATACCTGCAGCTCCTCTGAGGGGTCAAGACCTGCCAGAGCGATACCGAGGCTGGCCAGAGGTACGTCGCCAGGCGTGCGATGCTGTCCCGCCTGTCAAGTCCAGACTCCTTGAAGCTCACGGACACAGAGATAGGAGGGAGGGAGATTGGGAGGGAGGTGCAGGTGTGGAAGCGAGATCGCTATGCCTAGCCGTCGGGTCGAGGCTGCCTGCATGGTTTTATTCTCAGCAGACAATCTCATCACCTCCATATCTCTACTGCTCGCTCGCTTCCCCCCTGCCTCGCTCTCTCGCTCCCGGTCTCTCCTCGCCCGCAGCCCTCCAGTCCTGTCCTCTCCTCGCCAGCTGCTGGAAGTACTTCTGCGCATGCGAGCGGACCTGGGCCTCGTCGCGTGTGCCTATGGCTTGGGCGATCTTCCTCGCTGCTCCTCGTCCCAGCCCGACTCGCAGCCTCCCCCCGCTGTCCCTCACGCCCGTCTTGCCGCGACGTCGGGTGGACACGTGAGCATGGAGGGCGGTGAGGAAGCGGTCATGCTCCTCCGAGGTCCACATGCGGCGAGGGACGGGGCGGTCGTCGCTGCTGCCGCCATCAGACCTGGAGGGAGAGGAGCTCGATGATGTTGGGGCGGTCGGGTAGCAGCAGTCGAAGAGGGAGGATAGGGGCTGGCCAGTCAGAGTGGCTTTGTGTGCTGCAGAGAAAGATGAAGCGGGAGAGTAGGGGGAGGAGTCTGGGGAGGGGGAGGGGGAGGGGGGAGGGGAGGGGGAGGGGATCAGATAGGAGGGATGGACATCGTGGGGATAGAGGGCAGCAACGGAAGCATCCACCGACATCGTCATCGCACAACGGACGGACAAGGAGGATGGAAGTGGACTTGAGGAAAGGAGACTAGAACTTTGCAGGAGCAGGGCATGTCTCAATAGACAACGATTGGAGAGAGACGACGTGTGGCTAGCAAAAGGCAACGCATGAACGTCGCAACCCTTGGAGGAGCTGCGGTTTGAGGGATAAGTAGCGTGATATTCTGGGGATAACGATTTCGGTATCGTGACGAAACAAGGGGAGGAAGCTCAATCGTTGCGTTCTAGCCTCCTTCGGACTCCCTTCCCGAAAAGCAGCTTGATGACTCCCCTTCGCAAGAAGCTTCTAAACCCCCTCTATCTCCCTGTAAGCCCTCACCAGACCCCCGCATCGCTCCTCTACTTCATCCCTCCCCCTCCCTCCTCTCCTCCCCTACCGCAGCCATGCCCCACGCTCCCCCCCCGCCCCCGACCTTCTCCATCGCCCTCGTCAGCCTCTCCCTCTCTCGCGGCTCCTCCCCCGCTGCTGCCCGCCCTCCCCGCGCCTTCAAGCTCTCCCCGTCCCAGCAAGCCTACGTCGACGCCCACAGCCCGCCGTCGGAGCAAACGCCCGAGCAGGACGAGCTGCAGGAGCTCCAGCAAGGCAAGGGCCCGAGTAAGCGAGTCAGCGTCAGCTCGGCTGGGCGGGAGCTGCTCCAGGGCGTCCTCGAGGCGAGGAAGGCCCGGGCTACAGCGCGCACGTCGTCGGGGAGGAGCTGGAGGGAGGAGGGAGGCTTCGTGGAGTCGCTGGAGGACGTGACGGAGATGGCGAGGGCAGAGCGGTGGGCGTAGGAGAGGAGGTAGCAGAGGAGTGTACAGTAGAGACCCCTTTCAGTCTTGGGGAGCGTGTAGAATAAAGCCAAGGCTGATGCAGCCGTCTTGTTGCTGACCGGGAGTCGATGTTGGGGTCTCGGCACCTCTCATGCCTCATACCTGCAGCTCCTCTGAGGGGTCAAGACCTGCCATGGCGATACAGACGCTGGCCAGAGGTACGTCGCCAGGCGTGCGATGCTGTCCCGCCTGTCAAGTCCAGACTCCTTGAAGCTCACGGACACAGAGATAGGAGGGAGGGAGATTGGAAGCGAGATCGCTATGCCTAGCCGTCGGGTCGAGGCTGCCTGCATGGTTTTATTCTCAGCAGACAATCTCATCACCTCCACAATCTCATCACCTCCATATCTCTACTGCTCGCTCGCTTCCCCCCTGCCTCGCTCTCTCGCTCCCGGTCTCTCCTCGCCCGCAGCCCTCCAGTCCTGTCCTCTCCTCGCCAGCTGCTGGAAGTACTTATGCGCATGCGAGCGGACCTGGGCCTCGTCGCGTGTGCCTATGGCTTGGGCGATCTTCCTCGCTGCTCCTCGTCCCAGCCCGACTCGCAGCCTCCCCCCGCTGTCCCTCACGCCCGTCTTGCCGCGACGTCGGGTGGACACGTGAGCATGGAGGGCGGTGAGGAAGCGATCATGCTCCTCCGAGGTCCACATGCGGCGAGGGACGGGGCGGTCGTCGCTGCTGCCGCCATCAGACCTGGAGGGAGAGGAGCTCGATGATGTTGGGGCGGTCGGGTAGCAGCAGTCGAAGAGGGAGGATAGGGGCTGGCCAGTCAGAGTGGCTTTGTGTGCTGCAGAGAAAGATGAAGCGGGAGAGTAGGGGGAGGAGTCGGGGGAGGGGGAGGGGGAGGGGGGGGGGGAGGGGGAGGGGATCAGATAGGAGGGATGGACATCGTGGGGATAGAGGGCAGCAACGGAAGCATCCACCGACATCGTCATCGCACAACGGACGGACAAGGAGGATGGAAGTGGACTTGAGGAAAGGAGACTAGAACTTTGCATACTAGCCTCCTTCGGACTCCCTTCCCGAAAAGCGGCTTGATGACTTCCCTTCGCAAGAAGCTTCTAAACCCCCTCTATCTCCCTGTAAGCCCTCACCAGACCCCCGCATCGCTCCTCTACTTCATCCCTCCCCCTCCCTCCTCTCCTCCCCTACCGCAGCAATGCCCCACGCCCTCCCCCCGCCCCCGACCTTCTCCATCGCCCTCGTCAGCCTCTCCCTCTCTCGCGCCTCCTCCCCCGCTGCTGCCCGCCCTCCCCGCGCCTTCAAGCTCTCCCCGTCCCAGCAAGCCTACGTCGACGCCCACAGCCCGCCGTCGGAGCCCAGACCCGAGCAGAACGAGCTCCAGCAGGACGAGCTCCAGCAAGGCATTGGACCGAGCAAGCGAGTCAGCGTCAGCTCGGCTGGGCGGGAGCTGCTCCAGGGCGTCCTCGAGGCGAGGAAGGCCCGGGCTACAGCGCGCACGTCGTCGGGGAGGAGCTGGAGGGAGGAGGGAGGCTTCGTGGAGTCGCTGGAGGACGTGACGGAGATGGCGAGGGCAGAGCGGTGGGCGTAGGAGAGGAGGTAGCAGAGGAGTGTACAGTAGAGACCCCTTTCAGTCTTGGGGAGCGTGTAGAATAAAGCCAAGGCTGACGCAGCCGTCTTGTTGCTGACCGGGAGTCGATGTTGGGGTCTCGGCACCTCTCATGCCTCATACCTGCAGCTCCTCTGAGGGGTCAAGACCTGCCAGAGCGATACCGAGGCTGGCCAGAGGTACGTCGCCAGGCGTGCGATGCTGTCCCGCCTGTCAAGTCCAGACTCCTTGAAGCTCACGGACACAGAGATAGGAGGGAGGGAGATTGGGAGGGAGGAGCAAGAGCGAGATCGCTATGCCTAGCCGTCGGGTCGAGGCTGCTCGCATGGTTTTATTCTCAGCAGACAATCTCATCACCTCCATCTCTCTACTGCTCGCTCGCTTCCCCCCTGCCTCGCTCTCTCGCTCCCGGTCTCTCCTCGCTCGCTTCCACTGCCGGTCTCTCCTCGCCCGCAGCCCTCCAGTCCTGTCCTCTCCTCGCCAGCTGCTGGAAGTACTTATGCGCATGCGAGCGGACCTGGGCCTCGTCGCGTGTGCCTATGGCTTGGGCGATCTTCCTCGCTGCTCCTCGTCCCAGCCCGACTCGCAGCCTCCCCCCGCTGTCCCTCACGCCCGTCTTGCCGCGACGTCGGGTGGACACGTGAGCATGGAGGGCGGTGAGGAAGCGGTCATGCTCCTCCGAGGTCCACATGCGGCGAGGGACGGGGCGGTCGTCGCTGCTGCCGCCATGAGACGTGCAGGGAGAGGAGCTCGATGATCTTGAGGTGGTCGGGTAGCAGCAGGCGAAGAGGGAGGATAGGGGCTGGCCAGTCAGAGTGGCTTTGTGTGCTGCAGAAAGCGAGGGAGCGGGAGAGTAGGGGGAGGAGGAGGGCGAGGTCGAGGGGGGCCTTTCCCCAAACAGCAACGCGTCCAGGCATGAGATATTTGACTAGGAAACTGCAACGCTTCCGTAAGAAGATTCTCGACTCAGTGACTTGGAAAAGACAACGCATGAATGTCGCAACTTGGCAACCGTCGGGCCTTGGAGCCGGGGCAGTGGATAGATGATAGTATCCGAAGTTTGCCAAGTACACTCAACAAGCCACGGTGGGCCGAGCGGCCCTCGCCAGGCCCTGAGGGCCTGGCCAGGCAGGCCCGGCCGGCAAACCGTTGGCAGTTCCCTCAGGCTCCCTGCTGCGATCCGATGATCACGTACACTGTTGAGGACCGTACCGTTCCGGCCAAGACTTGAGCCGCATATTACTAGTCCGAACATCACACATAGTCAAATTTTCAAATTTTCATGAGTCCTGAGTAAGTTCGTGTGACACGCACGGTACTGGGCCGTGTGACTCGACTCCGGCAATAACGGTTCAAAACGCTCGCCGCGGCACTGACAGAGAACCCGAGACAACTTGAACGAACTTCCGACGTCCGATCGCTCGGACTCCGAGCCTGCGCCGGGCGCGGCGGGCCCGCCGCCGGAGCATGCGGCAGTGCCCGGCCATCCCCGGCCGCGGACACCGTCACCGGGCCCGGCCGGGCTGTATACTATGTGATACATATCACGGTTCCGCTCGATTGCACCCCCGATCGCACACATAAAGGATGGCAGCGGATCGGAGATGTTTGGCGACGTTGGCGCTTGCCATGGTCGCTGTGTGCAGAACTAGCGCTTATGCTCCTTCAGTGATGGTGAGAGATGGAATGTTTCCTGTCATGTTGAGTCTGATAACATCTATGTGTGTGTGTTTGGTGACTTGAAGAATTAGTTGGAATATTGTGATCATTCTTGATGTGAAGTCCAACCAGCATAAAAATTGTGTCTGCTGACAGAGACATGTGTATGGTTTCTCGTTTGAAATGGTTTTTAATCTTCAACGCTGTCTGCACACTCACTGGTGCTGTAGCCTGGCCTCCAGCGGGTTAGAACCAAGGGAGCTGGACTTCAAGGTAGGATGCGCTTGTTCACAGGAATCCCGCATTCCAGCAGAGCAAATCTCTCCCCGGCATTGCGAATGTCTGATGGGAAAGCGTCAACAAGCTCCGAAGTCGACTTTGTCGTCGTTGGTTCTGGTCTTGGCGGCCTCAGTGCCGGTGCGCTACTGGCAAAGTACGGGTACGACGTCACTGTCTGCGAGTCCCACTATCATCCTGGAGGGTGTGCGCATGGCTTCGAGATCAAGGACAAGAACTCGGACGACATCTTCAAGTTCGATGCTGGGCCGTCCCTGTGGGCCGGCATGTCTGAGCCTTCAACGAACCCGCTTCGGCAGGTGATGGATGCTGTTGGGGCACAGGTAGAGTGGAAGAAGTACGACGGGTGGGGAGTGTACTTCCCCGATGGGTACTTCCGGTTCAACGTTGGGCCTTCCGATCAGGCTGGAGGCTTCGAGGACGTGATAAGAAAGTTTGGAGGGCCCGGTGGAAGCATCCAGGAATGGAAGAAACTACAAGAGATTATCAAACCTCTGATCCTCGCTTGTACCACTTTCCCTCCGATGGCCCTCCGAGCCGACCTTGGCGTGCTCAAGACGCTGTCCAAGTACCTTCCTACATTCCTCTCCTTTGGACCAGCCGCGGCAACGATCAACGGGCCCTTCTCGGCAGTGATGAAACAGGCGGGGATTAGGGAGGGGACCTTTCTTTGGCGATGGCTGGACTACCTCTCCTTCGCTCTCAGTGGGCTCCTGGCGGACGGGACCATCTGTGCTGCTGTCTCCTACACCCTGGGGGATCTGCACAGGAAGGGATCACTGCTGGACTATCCTGTGGGAGGAAGCGGCGCAGTTTGTGAGGCCCTTGTCCAGGCGATGGAGAGGAATGGAGGAAAGCTCCTGCTCAAGACTCCCGTGCAGGAGATCCTGATCAAGGATGGCCGAGCGGCGGGGGTGATCACCAAGGGGGGGGACACCATCCTCGCTCGCAAGGGCGTGATCAGCAACGTGCCGGTCTGGTCGCTCCCCAAGCTGCTGCCCGACGAGTACTCGACCTTCTCCTTCGGGGGCCTGTGGCAGGAGAACCACAACACCAGGGGTCTCAAGGAGGATTTGAAGAAGACGCCGCAGACAGAGAGCTTCATGCACCTCCACCTAGGTACTCCCGTTGCTGCCTTTCCTCTTGACCCGTCCTCCCTCCCTCCCTCCCTCTCTCCCTCCCTCCCTCTCTCCCTCCCTCCCTCTCTCCCTCCCTCCCTCCCTCCCTCCCTCCCTCTCTCCCTCCCTCCTCTCTTGGGACTGACGCGCTTCGAAGGGATCGATGGCAAGGACCTCAAGGACCTCGACATCCACTACACGGTGACTCGCTGACTCCTGGAGGAGCTGCAGCTGACGGAGGCTTTGCAGGTGATCAACGAGTGGGAGAGCGGCATCGACGCCCCCGGCAACATGATTGTTATCTCCATCCCCACCGTCCTTGATCCTTCCCTCGCCCCTCCAGGCAAGCACGTCGTCCACGCCTACACCGCCGGCAACGAGCCCTACGACCTGTTCGAGGGGATGGACCGGAACTCGGACAAATACAAGCAGCTCAAGAAGGAGCGAGCGGAAGTCCTGTACAAGGCTGTCGAGAAGGTCATCCCAGACCTCAGGGACAGGATCCAGGTCGAGCTCGTCGGTTCTCCCCTCACGCACGAAAGGTATCTCAGGAGGCCCCAGGGCACCTACGGCCCGGCATGGCGAGCAGGCAAGAACTTGTTCCCCGGGCCCGGGCTTGCCAAGGTACCTGGCCTCCTCTGCTGCGGCGACAGCGTGTTCCCGGGGATCGGAGTCCCTGCTGTGGCGGCGTCGGGGCTAACGGCAGCGAACAGCATGGTGTCGGTAGGGGAGCACGTGGAGCTCTTGCAGGAGATGAAGAAGGGAGGGCTGATGCCAGATCAAGTGATGGTCTGAGTCCGGGCCCGGGACCGGACTCTCAGGCTCCGATCAGGCTCGGAGGGCTTGTATCTAGCTCATGTACTTCATAAACTTAGTAAAGATGATGATCAGACCAACTTAGACCTCAGTGCCGGCACTGCAGTGCCGCATGCGCGGCCGTACGGTACGCCGGTGGAACTGCCGCCCGTGACGAGACTCGGAGAGTCACATACTTCAACAGAGTCCGATCACAGTGACCCTCAGACTCTGGCCCAGGCTCGCGTAAGTTCTGGGATTCAAAGAACCCCCCGCCCGGCAACTAGCTCGGAGAGATCGCCAGTCAGGCTCCCCGCGTACGGTCCTGTTGGGAGTCGAGTCGTAACTCGAGGAGACACCGGGCCGACTGACAGTGAGTCGGTGAACCGGCCCGGAGTCAACTCTGCCAACCGCTGCCACTCGCGGCCTCCGAGAGTCACGCGCTAGGCCCTTGTATGGTGAGATGCTGATCATAGTACACGATTCGTTCCAGCACCGGCAAATGCCGTGCAGTACCAGCGGGTCTTCCTGGTAGCCTGGTAGTGTGAAGTTAACAACTCTAGTACCAGGTATACGATTGAGTAAAGTTCATATTTGGTACAACTTGACAGCTGTGGCTGGTCAAGTTAACAACGATTGGGTTCGCAAACAGCCTGAGGGGTGGGTGGTAACTCTGGTACTATTCGATGGATTCGGAGGGGTAGTGAGTTGGCACAATACGGACTAGAGTGATGACTGGGCAGCGGAATGAGGGAATGCGAGAGGGGGAGGGAAGGGAGGGAAGGGAGGGAAGGGAGGGGACGCTGAGAGAGGGAAGAGACGATGAAGATGTGATGTGAAGATGGTGGGGGAAGAAGAAAGAGAGGAGGAGAAGCGCGGTGAGATCGAGCGGAATGGAGAAGTGGAAATAGAAATATGTTTGAGAAAATTGGATAGGGCGAGGAGAGAAAAACTGCATTGTTTTTCAAAATATTTTCAAAAGGAGACGAGCTCTGCCCAATGATACGTACGATTGAAGACAACGAGGGCAAAGGCTGCCGTGGGAGAGAAAAGGAAGATGTTTGTACTTGTAGACAACAAGAGTGCGTTTTGTTGTTTCAGCATAATCACGCGTTAGATGGAAATTCCTTCTAGCATCTCTGATAATCCTGATGTCTTTTTCGCTACTGGCTCATTCGCAAGTAGCTGTATGTCCGCCTTCTCACTAGTCTTGTCATGTCTTCAACCTTTCCTTGTTGACTTTCTTTACTCACTTGCCTGTGTCAACCTTTCTTTGTTCACCTCCCTTCCTCCTCTTTTGTATTTGATCCTTTCATCCTTTTTCTGGAATTCCTCAGCTACATTTTTGTTTGGTCCTCATACCTCCTGTTGATTTCTAACCAACCATCTTCCTTTCTTCCCATGATCTTTGTTTCTCATTTTCTCTGATTGCCTTTCAAGCTCACCTTGTACAATGCATCACGGACAGAATCCAAAAATTCTCCACGGCATCGGGGTGAAGTTCAAGTCTCTTGCTCTTGCTGCACCTCTGATGGAAAACTTGTTGCAGTATGTCGCCAACGTACACAGCGAGTCTCTCCAGGCCTTGCTGGGGGAGGCGTTCTTCCTTCTGGGGAAGTTGTACATGCTCATGGATCGAGACCACGTCGGCCTCATCACCTTCCAGAACTTCGTCCACTTCTTGCACGAAGCAGGCATGTACGGGGAGCAGGTCAGACCAGACAGGGAGGGAGGGAGGGAGGGAGGGAGAGAGGGAGCTGACGTTGGATGGTGGCGCAGATTGGAAAGATGCAGAATATCTTTGTGGGAATGGATGTGGACAAGAACGGGACGCTCGACCTCGCCGAGTTCCTCTGCATGATGTACTCCTGGGGGAGCTCGGGCGAGAGCTTCGACAAGATGTTTGGAGGCTGCAAGGAGAACGCTGCTGTGGTCGACAATGCCTTCAGGATCATGAGCATGGCCTGGGCCAAGTACGACAGCGACCGGTCGCAGGAGCTGCAGTACTCCGAGCTGATCCACTTCCTGCAAGCTGAGCTGCCTGAGGCCTTTGCGTTCGCCTCCGCGGTCGTGGATGAGATCTACCCTGAGCAAGTCAGATCGGTACGTGATGTCGCTCCTTTCCTCCCTTCCCCCTCCTTCCCTTCCCTCTTTCCTCCCATCACTCCCATCCCTCGCTTCTCTCTCTCTCTCCCAAATCCTCCTTTTCCTCTCTCTCTCCTCGCTTCCCTTCCCTCCCAATCTGCTTCCCTGCCACCCTCATCGTTTTCCTTTGCAGGCACATCCTCTTTGTTTCCGCAGCTTCATGCACCTGTTGTGTGAGTTCAGACGAGCGTGCTGGGGGGGGGGGGGGTGACATCATGGTTTGCAGTCTTGCTCTTCCAGAGAATTCCGGGGAGCAAGCTCGTTCAGTTCGACGGGACGATCCACGAGGACAGCGACAAGGGAGGACAGGGACCAGAAAGCACAAAGTGGAAGCTGTATGCGTCTGCGTTTGCGGGCCTGGAAGGTGAAGAAGACGGGAGGAAGGAGGACGTGGAGGGGGGTGAGGGGGAAAGTGACAGGAGGATGGAGAAGAGGTAGAAGGAAGGAGGAGGGGAAAGATAGCAGAGGAGAGGAATGGTCCTAACTCTGATGATGCTGGGAAACAGTGGATTTCATCTCTTTGGACAGAACCAAGGACGGGATGATTGACATCACTGAGATCTGCCAGCTTGTCGATCTCCGCCCGACCTACGAGAAGCTTGACATCTTGACAAGATTGGAGCACAAGTTTCGCATGGTAGACATGAGACCATGTAGTGTCGGTGCATGCCTGCAAAGTGGAGGCTTGCTGTGTTGATGTTGAGATGATGATAAATGTCATAGTCCTCTCTTGATGTATGATAAGATGTACGCAGGTAGACGAGGACCGGAACAACACTCTCGACTTCTACGAGTTCGTTGCACTTGTAAGTGAAAGCTCGACATCTGACACCTTGGCTATCCCCCACCCTCTCACAATCTCATGAAATCTCCCTTTGAGATCCTTAAACTCCTGCCGTTGGCTGGGAATGAGTGCAAGACAGGCATTTCTGATGGCTCAGGACGGAACTTACTCGGAGATGATCCCGACATCGCAAGCTCGAGAGAAAATCTCCAGGATGTTCACAGTCATGACCGGCGACTACATTCAGCAGGTGCAGAGGAAGTGGCGATGATGATGCGAGGAGTGGAGCGACATGAGCGGGGAGAGAAGGGACGTTTCGAGAAAAGATTGTTGGCACACGAGGCGCAGATAGAAGCGTTTTCATGGTAGATACGAGTATGACAGCAGGTACGAGTACGTCAGTAAGAGCAGCACCATGACTGGTTGTATGCTAGTAGTAGCTCTTGTAGATGGACTTCAGTGATGTTAAGAGGATGGGATTGTTGACTAGTGGCGAGTGTTTGAGACCTCTACCATGCTGTAACGGTGTAGAATGAGAGTTCCTTTTCCTGCTCCTCGGGCATCACACCCCGAACTGACCAGCAACCAGGACAAGAACAGGACGGGAGTCCTGACCAAAGATGGAGTCTCGGGATTCTTCAACTGCAGCTTTTCCATGGTCCCTGCCAGCCTCGACGGTGAGAAGGAGGAAGCGAAAAAGAAGGAGGGGAAGGAAGAGAGAAAGATGAGGAAGAGGAGAGAGAGAGAGGAGGAGAAGGGGAACAAGGAGGGGGACGAGCACGAGCACGAGCACGAGCACGAGCACGAGCACGAGGGAGAGGAAGGGTTTAGGTGTTTAGGTTGTGTCAGCTGCTGAGATTATTGCCAGCTCTATTTGATGGGGCGGCTAAAGTCCACAGCCTCGATCCTTCTCAGAAGACCGTCGACATCGCTGGGCTCATCAAGATCCTTTACCACATCATCTTGCCAGGTCGATCCATTATCAGCTGCCTCTCCTCACATCGTTCTCTCTTTCTCGTCTCATGTCCTCCTCCTCTCAATTTCTTTCTCCTCCTCTATCTCCACCATCACTCCTCCTTCTCCTACTCCTCCTCCTCCTCCTCTTCGTCGTCGTCGTCGTCGTCCTCCTCCTCCTCCTCCTCCTCCTCCTTCTCTTTTCAATTTCTCTCTTGCTACATCTCTTTCTCCTCCTCCTTTTCCTCCCGGTTTGACATGGAGGAATGTAGATGGTCAATTTGACATGGAGAAGTATCATCCCCAGCACAGCAAGATGGAGTTTGCGAGCGTTAAGCTCCCAGAGGCTACGACATCCTCAACTGAGAATGTAGCTCCTTGTTCTGGCTCTTCTTCACTGCTCTTCCCTGCTCCTCCTTGCTCCTTCTTCTTCCTCCTCCTCTCCCTCCTCCCAATCTCTTCCTCCTCCTCTCCGTACACGCAATTCATCTCCTTTACAAGCGTTGATCACAGAAGCGAGTCTCTCCAGTCATCAACAGCAAGTTTGTCAAGGGCAAGATGCTCGGGCAGGGAGGTCAGGGTGCTGTCTACCTTGGGAGCTACGAGGGAATCAAGGTAATGATGATGATGATGATGATGATGTGGAGGAGGAGGAGGAGGAGGTGGAGGAGGAGGAGGAGGAGGAGGAGGAGGAGAGGGAGAAAGGAGAGGAGGAGGATGGAGAAAGGCGAGGGCAATGACAGAGAAGAGCAGGTCGCTGGCAAGGAAATGCTGGAAGGACCAACTCCACAAGTGTTGGAGGATCTGAAGAATGAGGTTCGTATGCTGGTCTTATGTTAGGTCTGATAGCGACCATGACATGTGTCAGTCGGGATAACGATGATCGAGTTGATGATAATCATAATCATGAGCATACTGAGCTTGATGTCTGTGATGATGATGATGATGATGATGATGGTGATGATGATGATGATGGTGATGGTGGTGGTGGTGGTGGTGGTGATGCTATGGCATGCTTGTCATGATGCGTTGGGAAGTGACAATCGTTGATCGAACAGGTGGATCTCCTCATGAAGCTCAACCATCCCAACTGTCACTTCCTTGTCGGAGCAAAGACTCACTCTGATTCTGAAGGTTTTCCCCTCCTCCTGACGGAGGTAAGAGCTACAGCTGCTGTCGTCCTAGTTATGTCAATCATGTTTATCATCTTCTCCACCACTATCACAACCATCATCATTGCTCCACATTTTCCTTCTACTTCTTCCTCTCCTTCTACCTCTTGTGCTTGTTCTCCTCTGCTACCTGGTTTTCTTCCTTTCCATCGTCTCCACTCTCCTTCTCACAACATCTCTACCAGGTTTGCGACGAAGGATCTATCTTCGATCTCTACGCAAAGAAGAAGTTGTTCTTCCCGGAGCAAGCTGCTGTAAAACTTGCCTCCTCTCCTCCCCTCCTCCTGCTCTGCTTCCTCGTCCCCCTCTCACATCAGTGCGCCAGTGGAGGTTCGGGTATGAATGCGCGGCGGGGCTGGAGCATCTCCACAGCTTCGGCTACATGCATCGCGACCTCAAGTCGCTTGTGAGTTCACTCGCAACCAACAGACATCATTGTCGAGCATCCTGTGATCTTGTTTGACTTGTTCACCAGAACGTCTTCGTCACTTCCAACTTCGTTGCCAAGGTCGCTGACTTCGGCATGTAAGATGACATTCGTTCGGCGGTCCTGGCGCGTTTTGACGTTTTTCTTCCGTCAGGGCCACCAACGAGCCCACGGCCAGTGATCCTGCTGGGACCCCTCAGTGGATGGCCCCTGAGGTAAGAGACTTACGACCGTGTCAAGTTGACACCCCCTTGTCAAACATGTCAACCGCTACTTGTCAAATACTCTGCCGTTCTCGCTCACGATCTGACAGGTTGCGATCAATGTCTTCGGCCAGAAGTCTGTTTACGACAAGGTGGAGAAGATGATGGTGTGCAAAGAGCGAAACTGACATCTCGTGTTTGTCTTGTTTTCACCTCCTGCTCCTGCTCCTGCTCCTGCTCCTGCTCCTGCTCCTCCTCCTGCTCCTCCTCCTCCTCCTCCTCCTCCTCCTCCTCCTCCTCCTTTTCTGCCTTTCTCTTCTTTCTACCTGCTCTACTTTCTCCGAGCAGCGATGCGACATCTACAGCTACGGTAAAACGCCTGCTTCTACTTGAACGCGACTTACGAATTTCCTCCAGGCATCATGCTGTGGGAGTTCTACACCTGCTCCTGTCCTTATGCCGAGACTGGGATGCAGCAGATGGACATTGCCCTTGCGGTCATCTCCATCATCATCAAAAACAACAACAACAACAACAACAACATCATCATCATCATCATCATCATCATCATCATCATCATCATCATCATCATCATCATCATCATCCTTGCAACCATCTTTCTCCCCTCCCCTCTTCTCTCCCCTCTTCTCTCCCCTCTTCCCTCTTCCTGATCTTTCCCCGCAGGTGATCAACCAGCAAATCAGACCCACCATGCAGATGAATCCCAACTGGCACCTCGTTGACCCCACAGGAAATGCCAGGAAGCTCATTCAGCAATGCTGGAGCCAGTAAGACGCTCCTCTCCTCTCCTCTCTTCCCTCCTCTCCTTTCCTCTCCTCTCCTCTCCTCTCCTCTCTTCCCTCCTCTTCCCTCCTCTCCTCTCCTCTTCCCTCCTCTCCTCTCTTCCCTCTTCTCCTCTCCTCTCCTCTCCTCTCCTCTCCTCTCCTCTCCTCTCCTCTCCTCTCCCTCCTGACACCCTCCCCTTGCAGGAACCCGGCTGAGCGCCCGCCATCCTTCACCCATATCCTCGAGGTGTCTGCAGCACATGAAAGCAGCATGTTGATCCTGACGTCCTCTGCCAGGCTATGCGTCAGTTCGCTCCAGCTAGCTAGGAGGGTCGAGACTTGGACCTCTGCCATAGGGCAGTCTAAAGGTTTGAATGAAGGAATGAAGATCGTGTCGGATCCGCTCTTCTCATCTCCGCTCGTCTCTTCTCGTGAGCAGTCAGCGCATGCATATGCTCGATCTTGAAAGAAGAAATCATGCTTGAACGACATCGCAGCAATTGCGGAAAGGCCACGGATTGGGCGAGTGGACATGGTATCGGGCACCTTGTAAACCTTTGTGAGAAGTTTGAGAAATCTACCGTTTTATTGTCAACACAAACTATCTTACACCATCATGATACTCCCAGCTTCCTCAACACAACCTTTTCGAGGCCAGGAAGTAATTAAACCTGCAAAAGTTTGTTGGCGGCGAACTCAGTCGACGATCAGAGAGAGGAAGGGATGAGCAACACGACGATCTGCAATCAAATTATAGGGAAGTCATATCGATCATGAGCTTGATGCTCTCGAGCCTCTCCTTCTCCTTCCACTCTCCTCCTCTTCCTCTGCATCTGCTACCAAGGCCATCGGAACCATTCCCATTCACCGCCTGTATGCTGTCTCTCCTCTTCTTCCACCTCCGCTTCCAGCGAGCCAGACTGGTCGCATGACGCTGCCTTTATGATGAGGAAGGGAGTTGTAACAGGCGCCATCGCTGCCAGCTTCAGCGCATGCAACACGTCTTCAGTTTCCCCCCCGTGATCCGACATTGCGCTGAAGAATGATTCGCCATAACGGAAATAACGGTTTAGGCCGAGTCACTACCGCAAAACCGGCCGGGGGCCGCCGCCGGGGCCCGGACGGTGACCCGGGGCCCAACCGCGGACTGGCAGTGGGCCGGTCCCGGGGAGTTACGGTCCCGGAGGGCCGGGCGCCGGGCACCGGACTCACGGGCGACTTGTAAAACGCATCCGCGGGGCCGTCGGACTGCCGGCCCGGTGACGGCCCGGCCGTCCCGCCGCCGGGCCCAGGCGACCAGGGCCCGGCCGCAGCCGGGTGACCGTCCGATCTGTCCGATCACTGTTGATCGGACCGCAGCGGCCTGCCCGGCCGGTACTAGGCTCAGACAGGTGATTCAGCTCCGATGATGATCCGACCATCGGATGATGGTACCGTACGGCGAGACTGAGCCGCTGAGCGGCTGGCGGTGCTGGGGCCGGGCCGGGCTGCAGCCTGAGTGCCGGGCCCGGCCCCGGCGGCCAGTCACGACCGGGTGCCGCGTGCCGGTGTCGGACTCATGTACCGTAGTAGTGCCGCACTGCATCCCGGCGGGGTCGCCGTCAGATGGTTGCGCGCGGCCGCGCCGGCCGCCCGGCTCACTGGCCGCTTTGAGCCTGGCCTCGGAGGCCGCCGCCGCGCTCCCCGGGCCCCGGGCCCCGGCGGAGTCCCGACGCCGGTGCGGCCCGCCGCTCAGTGGCGGCTCCTCCTCAGCTCGAAGGAACAAAACAAAAAACTAGACATATTTTTTCTTAAATTTGAATTTTGACTTTTTAAATGTACCGATTTTGAGTTAAGTAAATTAGTGTTTAGGTTCCTTTCCGCAAGCCGCGTCCTCAGGCAAACGAGGTTGGCACAAGGACAAGGGGTAGGTCTATACTTTGCCACCATGACTACGGGTAGTTACTAGTTACATTTTATACCTTTAGAGGGGTGGGGTAAGTTTCAAAATTTTAGTTTTCAGGGTGGGGTTGTAGAAGCGTTGGAGCAATGCTGCGCTTTGAAGCAGCCGATGGCAAGCGGCGGCGTGTGGAGAGAAGATGCAGGACAGGAGGGGAGAGGAGAACGTAGAAAATTATTCAGAGGAAGATTGGAAGGAGTTTGCCTTATGCAGAGGCAGAGACGGAGAGAGGAGAGGAGAGGAGAGGATAATGGAGAGGAGAAAGGAGAGGAGAAAGGAGAAGTGGGAGGGAAAGTCTTCACTGCAAAAGTGGATTGGAATGATGCACTACGATGCGAACAAACAGCAGGAATAAAATTTTTCTAGAGACAGATTTGGAACTATGGATAGCTCGAGATTGTTCACTGAGAAGCATCTACGCACTGCATTTTGGATCGGATAGGTTCCCTGTTAGAGTGATGGACTTGTGAGAGAGGTCGACCCACAGGTTGGAAGGGAAGAAGCTGTCTGACTTTGAGGAGCAGATGTCGTACCGAGAGCTGAGAAACTTCACGGAGATGATGCGAGCCCTGGGGTATCACCGTCCTGTCTCTGTTGAGAACTTTCGGAACCCCAACTTCGAGTTAGTCGCCGACATCTTGCGATGGCTGGTGAAGCGGTACGAGCCGATGGCAGACATCAATGCAGAAGTTGGGAACATGCAAGACCGCGTCGTCTTCCTGAAGCAGTGTGCACAGCTGATGCAATCTAAGGGAAGGATCAAGCTCAACACCAAGAGGCTGTACCAGGCTGACGGGTACGCTGTGAAGGAGCTCATCAAGATAGCCAACGTGCTCTATGACGCAATCAAGTCGAACCCTGACGACGAAGACGACATCTTCGGTACTGACAACTTCTCGCTGAAGCTCAACGACCTCAAGGACATCCGCGACCTCGCCACTGAAATCACCCAGCATGGCGCCGCTCTTGCCGAGCTGCTCGGTAGGGAGGAGGCGAACAGGGAGGCGCGGCAGCGGGCAATCTCAAGGAACGCGGAGGTAGGAGACATCGAGAAGGTGATCAAGCAGCAGATCTTAGCAGCGAGAGACACGATGGCGAACAAGGAGAAGATGATGGAGGAACTTCTGGCAGACGAGAAGTCGCTCAAGAAGAAGATCGAGAAGAAGAGTGTGGAGCTCGACAGGAACGAGAAGAGGTTTCGCTCTCTCCAGACTGTCCGCCCCGCGTTCATGGACGAATACGAGAAGCTGGAGGACCAGCTGCAGGATCTGTTCCGCGACTACTTGGAGAGGTATCGGAACCTCGACTACATCGACAACCTGCTCGACCAGCACAACAAGGAGGAGCAGGAGAAGATTGACGAGAACGAGCGGAGGATGAAGAAGATGCAGAAGAAAATCAAAGAGGAGGAGATGCGGGTGCTAAGAGGCGATGTGCAGCTCGACGAGAACGAGCTCGACGACTCCCTTCTGGATGACGCCTCCTCGGACGAGGAGCAGAACTTCAAGCGAGGAGGGAGTTCGGAGGGAGAACGGCCCAAGACCAAGTCTGGGCCTCGTTCCAATGTGCAAGGAACTCTGACAGGAGGGGACGAGTCGAACTCGGCAAGCGACCAAAGCTCGTAAGATTGGTTGGGGGTTGAGGGGGGAGGAGAGGGAGAGGGAGGGGGAAGGGTGGAAAAGGATGGAAGCGGAGCGGAAGGAAGGTGAGGGGGTGGGGATGGGGGAGTAGGAGAGAGTCGAGGATTTGGAAGTCTTAGTTTGTCTTTGCAGGTCGGACGTGGACTCGGGAGAATTGCTGGATGTGGATAGTGACCAAGACAGCAACTCAGGCAATAGCGGTGCTGCCCCATCACTCCCTCCTTCCCTCCCTCTCTCACCGTCCGCCTGTCCGTCCGTCCGCCTTCTTCCTTCTCTCGCTCCCTCCCTCCAGCTGATGTTGAGCTGCAGATGTCTCCATCTCAGATGATGGATCCGTCAACTCAGGCTCATCGGGATCGACGTCGTGAGGCTTCGCCCACAGGGAGGGGGGAAGAAGGGAGGCTGAGGGAGGAGTATAGATGGAGGACGAGAAGAGGGAAAGGGGGAAGGAGACAGGGAGGGAGAGGGGAGGGATGGGAGGGAGAAGGGAAGAGCAAGGAACGTGTGTAGACGTAGAGGGTTTAGGAGCGAATCCGAGGTAGAGGAAATGGAGAGGAGTATGCAGGAGGAAGTGAAAGGAAGGATGAGAAGCGGCGGAGGTGGAATGTTAGTAAAGTTCTTTTATTGGTTACAACATGAAATTATGCAGGAATAGGAGGAGGAGCTCCGTTGTCGTTGGGGTCCTGGTAAACGAATCAGTAACAAGAAGTATCATGAGATTGTCCGAGGAAGAGGAAGAGGCGCGGAAGGGGGAACGGCTGAGAGGAGGAGGAGGAGGAGGAGGAGGAGGAGGAGGTACCATACCTTCCAGCTGACGGAGAGCACGTAGGAGCACTCAGATCGTCCTTGATGTTGACAGTGAGCATGAGATTGTGAAGCAACATGGCAGGACGGGGAGAGGGAAGGTGAAGGGATACGATGGCTGAGGGTGGGAGGAGGAGCGAGGAAAATCGGGAAGAGCAGGAAGCAGGAGGACAGAGAGGGTAGGGTGGAGCTGAGGAGGCGGAAGCAGGGAGGAAGAGGAGAGGAGAGGAGGGAACAGGTCTTGGTTCCTCCCCTACTCACCAGCGGCGTAGACACCGATGTACATCCACCCGAGGATGAAGTCCTCGTCGAAGAAGTGGATAGCGATCCTGTCGTCTCCGAACCCCGTCTTCCTCCACCTGGACCGCAACTCGTCAGCTCCCCTTGCCCTCCTGCTGCCCAGCTGCGAGCCGCCGGGCAGCCCTCAGCCGGGAGTTACGTGTAGGTCGTCTTGTCCGGGTAGGGGCAGTTGGCGTTGCCGATGAAGAGGTCGGGATCGCCTCGCTTGCTCCTTAGTTGAATCTTGACGGAGGCCCGGGGGTAGTTGACTTGCACCTTGAAGTACTCGAACTTCCCTGCCTCTAGCGTGCCCGCGTACTGGCCGTTGCGATTGATCCTCCTTGCACCTTTGTTCTTGTCCTCCTGCTCCTTTTCCCGCTCCATCTTCTCCTGGTGCTGGTGTGAGGAAGAGCGAAGAGGGGGGTGGAGGAGGAGGGAGGAGGGAGGAGGGCAGTTGCAGAGGGAGGAGGAGGAGGACAAGGAGATGGTCAGACCTCGATGTCTTCGTCGATGAGCCTTTGGAGTTGGGGAGGGATAGTCATCCCGGCAGCAGCGTGTGAGAGGAGGCTCCTGTGAAACGTCCCCTGGCTGCAGGGGGAGGAAGATCATGATGACGTCATCAAGGGAGGTAAGGGAACAAATCCCACCTGTTGTACTCGTCGATCATGTCCTCGAGGATGCGCTTCTCCTTCATGAGGTCCTGCCGCTCGCTCTCGCGCTCGATCTTGACCTGACAGGATGCGGTGAAAGGAGGGAGGAGGGGAGGAGGGGAGGAGGGGAGGAGGGAGGAGGGAGGAGGGGAAAATAGTGAAAGAAAGGAAGTTGAAGGAGGTGGGAGAAGGAGAAAGGAAGATAGATCAGGAAGGAGGAAGGTGGAAGGATGCAGAGAGAATCGGAACAGATTCATTGAGGCGGGAGGAAGCGCGAGGGAGGAGAGAGGAGGGGGGAGAGGATGTGCGGGGAAGGACAAGGGTTGAGGCCCTCGCATGCTCACCAGCTCTCTTCCCTTTGTCAGCATCTTGACACGGTTGTCGTCGTCCATGATCCTCTCCATAATCTTTTGCTGCTGGTACAGCAGCGCTCTCTCGCTCTGCGCCTTCTTCTGCTTCCCTATCTCGGCCTTGATCAGCAGCAGCTCCGTCTGCTCGTGCATCTTCTCCTTCCTGCGCGCCCGACGGCTCGTCAAGTCGGGCAGGGGTGAGGGAAGGAGGAAGAAAGAGGAGAAAGAGAGGAGATAGAAAAGACGAAGTAGAAGATGATGCTGATGCTGATGATAAGAAGGAGGAGGAGGTGAAGAAAGGAAAAGGGAGTAATAAGAGTGACCTCTCGCGGAGCAGCTGCTCCAGATTCTGATCCGCCTGCTTCAGCTTGTGCTCCATCGCCTGCCGCTCCTCGTCCTGTTGGGCTCAAGCTAAGGAGAACAGCAACATGCCCAGCAGACCCCCACCAGGTGCTGCCTGTGCTGGTCGATCCTCTGCCGCAAACGTTTTGCGTGCTCGTAGCTCCTTTGCTGGAGGCGACGGTGAGTGGGAGGGGAGGAGAGGAAGAGACAAGGGGGGCAGGATGGGGTTGAGGAGGAGCAGAGGAGCAGCGAGAGGGAGGAGGCAGCAGTCGTGACTTCACCTTGCGTTCATGCGTTAGCTGGTCCTTCTTCTCCTTCATTTGCCTCGCTCGCTCCAGGTGCTTTTTGATCACCTCGAAGGTTGTCAGAGGAAGACTTGAGGATCTTGTAGCGGCACATCGTTGTCAAGGTCCTCCGCCATGTCCTTCCTCTCCAGCAAGTGCGACAGCAGCCGCTCCATCCTCTTCTTCTCCGCCTGAAGCGACGGGAAAGAGTCAAAGTGGGCAGGAGCTCGTTGGGATGGGGCAGGAAAGCAGAGAAGCAGAGGAGGATGGGAAGGTGGAGAGGAGGAGGAAGAGGGGGGGAAGAGAATGAGTGGAATGGAAAGAAAGAGAAGGAGGAGGGGGATGAAAACCTTAAATATCTTATTGTTGAATTCTCTTCCCTTCTCTGCTTGTCGACGGAGAATGTCCTTCGTCGTCTCGAACTTGTCGCCCCAGTGACTGCGACCTCTTGCATTCAGTGGAGGATGCGAGACAAGATGAAAAGGGTGTGTGTGGGGGGGGGGGTAACGAAAATCAAGAGCAAAATAGGACAAGACAGGGCGAACAGACCATACTGAGAAGAGAAACGGGAAGGGAAGGGAAGACAACCAAAGAGGAAGGTAAGGGTAAGAGGGAAGGGAAGGGAAGAAGGAGGGGAAGGGGAAGGGGAAGGGGAAGGGGAAGGGGAAGAAGGAGGGGAAGGGGAAGGGGAAGGGGAAGGGGAAGGGGAAGGGGAAGGGGAAGGGGAAGGGGAAGGGGAAGGGGAAGGGGAAGGGAAAGGGGAAGGGGACGGGGAGGCGGAATGAAAGAGGTTCTCGTCTCACGGGGTAGGAGGCCTGTTGCTTCCTGACTGCGACATGGTCTTGCCATTGGGGCTGGAGCCTCCGTCCGCCTTCACCTCCTCCTGTGCTCGCCGTTCGCTCTCGTTGGGCGAATTAGCCTGCGCGGCCTCCACAACGTGCGACTTTTCGACTGACTGCTCAACCGAACGCTCTTGCGAGCGCTCGTGCTCTCGCCTTGACCTCTCCTCCTCTATCATCTTCATCCTCTGCCGCTGAAGCCTTTGATCCAAAGAGGGACGTCAACACAAGCTCGGAAAGCTAGGAGAACACACAATGGAAGGTACAGGAGCAACGAGTAGGGAAGAACGAAGACATGAGATGAGATTGGGAGAGGAGGAGAGGAGATGAGTAGAGAGTACGGGGCGAGTAGAGGAGAGAGTAGAGATACCTCTTGATGAGAAGTTTTCTCCTCTTCTCGTGCTCTTCAAACCACAACTGAGAGTCTCTCAGTGAATCCCTGGTCTCGTTCTTGTCTCCCTCACCTTTGCTTTGACTTGATCCCTTGGGAACTTCTCTGAACCCCACGATTGTAAGCGAGAGAAGTAGAGAAGACAGAAATCAAGACATGGAGCAGAGAAGTAACAAGAGGGAACTTGGAGGTGAAGAGAGATAGGCGTTGATGATGATGATGATGATGATGATGATGATGATGATGATGAGGAGGAGGAGGAGGAAGAGGAGCATGAACCTTTGAAGTGCTCCTCGGAGAAGTGGCGGATATCATTGGGCTCGACGCCTCGCTCACAGAGAATCTCGATAGATCGAGGTGAATCAATCTCCTGCAGCAGGACAAGGTCATCTTGCGTCCTCAGCCTCTTCCGATTGCGAACCTCCGGCCGCTCCTCGATGAAATTGTTGAGGTGGATCCCCCTCCTCGGCTCCTTCACATCTCCAGCTGCTACCTTGAGGAAGCTGAACAGACGGGGGTGTCAACAACGAGGCAGTTCAGCGAAAGGAGATTTCACATGAGCTCTGTCGACGACCTCTCCAACCCTAGCGACACCTCTTCGAACACTGACTTGCGAGTCACGTCCTGCGCCACCTCCGCCTCCAGGAGCTCCACAGTCTTGGCCGTCTTGACCGTCAGGCTCTTCGGAGGCCTCGTCCTGCACACAAGAGGGACGTTCACCCTCTCTCACATCCTCTCCCCTCACGCGCCACCTCGACAGTCGCTCGAAGGGCTTCATGCAGGCCTTGATGCTCGGGATTGTGGCGCTCGACGTTATGGCCTCGTCCTTGGTGGGAGAAGTCGGTCCGACGCTCCTCTGATCGAAGGCAGATATCCGAGAGAAAGAAAGGTCTGCATCCTCTGCCATGACAGGAGGGGCTGACATGGCTCCGTCTCGACCTCGATCACGGGCCCTGGGAGGTTTGCTAGAGCTCAGCACACTAGCTTCGAGGTCACTCTTCTTGAGAGGGGTATGATGCTTCCCGAGGATACGCTCGCTCTCAATAACGTAGGGGCTGTCTTGTAGGCTGTCTCTTCGCCTTACCGACGCGTTTTTCCTCCCTGGCTTCGGAATCTCCTCACCTTCAAGCTCTTTGGGATCGTTCCCTCCCGCTGAAGCCGCGGCGGCGGCGGCGGCGGCAGCAGCAGCAGCTTGGCGCTCCTCCTTCATGTGTTTCTGTCTGATTGCCTTCTCCAGGATCCGGGTTTGTGCAATTGCTTCCCTCGTGTCAGTATTGCGGAAGACCCCATGCCGTTCCGTCCTGGGTAGAAGACTACCTTTGAGCTTGATTGACCTAGAGCTACAGACCAGGTCAGTCGACGATCAGCATGATAGTATGAAGGCCTTACAAGACATTCACTTCCATGCTCTTGCTCGAAATGGATTGGATCCTTTTTATCTCCCGCTCCAATTCAGCAACCTGATGCCGAAAGCAAATCAAATCTTCGTTAGATAGAAAATTTGAACCATCAGAAAGTTCCTGAACTCGGGCAAACCAGAAGCAGTTTCTTTTTAGCAAGAAAACACCCATCAAACTCAGTCCCACAAGCGGCTGAATTACTCACGGCATCATCAACAAGTGGAGCATAAACATAAATTCAGGTCTAGCCTGACGCAGTGATGGGTACTTGGAGGATGGTTACCTGGATCTCCTTGTATTTCTTCCTCCTCTTCACAGTCTCTAGCTTCATCTCCTCCTCCGCTGCCGCCTTCGCCGACATCATCTCCCTAACCCCGTCCAGCATCTTATTAACGCTCCCTTGCGGCGAGCACCCCACCCCAAGAAGGAATCCTTTCAATATTCAACCGGTACCTTTCAAGAGAAAAAAACAGGGGAAAGTAGGGGTGATCCATAGGGAAAATGTTTGCAGGGGTGGGTCCCCTTCCCTAGTCAACGGCTCTGGTCTCCCATCATTCTGGAATTTAATCTGTCCCCTGAGGGGGGCTCCTTGTTTGAGTCAGGGGTAGGGTGGTCTGATGACACCCGTACCGGTTGAGAAATATGCCAAAAACCCGGTAGTGACACTGCATTATCATGAGACATGGTGGGGTACTGAAAATTTGCTAGCTTGGTCGTTGAGGGTAGTTGACAAATGTACGGGTGGTCTGGGACTGCTAGACAACACAGTAAGGGGTGATAATGCAGGGGGTAGAGGAGGTAGGGGTACCTCTAGACCATGAACGGGTGGTTGGTAGTCATATTGGAGGTGGGGGTAGAAATTGAAGTGGTATTGTCCCAGTCTGTTGGGGGTAGGTGTGATGGGATTAGAGGGGTCAATGGAAGTTGGGTTTCGTTTATGTTAGGGTAGGGGTACCATTTGGGGGGTAGTTGACAAATCAAGAGATAGAATACTGGAAACTTTAGGGGTACTTGGAGACAAGTGTAGGGGTACCTCAAAATGACAAAGGGTGTACTTGGTATGAGTGGGGTCCTTCTGCGTTGATTTGACTCAGGGAGATTACTGGAATTAAGAGGGGTGGGTGGTAAAAGAAGTGCGAAGAGACGCGTGGAGGAGCCGCGGCAATGATGGTGACGGAGAGAAGCCTGAACACGGCGTCATGCAGTCTGGCGCTCGTGATGATGTGCATGGCTGTCTGGCACATGCAGAACCCATCTCACTTTGGAAGAAGGTCTGCTCTTGCTCAGGTAAAGACTTGTGGGGTTCAGAAGCAGGGCATGTTTTTGTTGGTTGAGACGCTATCTCGTGCTCCAAGTGCTGATGTTTTGCTCTAAGGGGTGAAATGATCTCTTTCGAAGTTTCCTCGTTCAGTGCTACCTCACAATGTTTTGTTTTGATGTTTTCCGACTGAAACCACAAATGATGTGTCGAAACTGGTGATCATTAACAGAATCAAAATTATGGTTGAGGCATGGATAAGTTTTCCGTTTTCTCGCCCGTAGAATTGACTACTCCTCCGAAGTCTTGCAGTTCTGGGTTGTATCTTCCTTGTGTTATGCTCTATTAGATGTTTCTGCGTTTTTTATTCGTGGTGCTATGTCGCCATAAGGTCAAGAGGTTGACGGATTTTCCAGACCCCTGCTCAGCAAACCACGGAGCTTTCCTTCTTGCAAACTTCTTGTGCGTGATCATTTAGCTTTTTGACCGTTTCCTCTGACATATGCTCTCCAGCCTTCGTTGATCAGATCTACATGTATGCTGGTCTGGCCGTTGACAACAAGCATGAGACTGGTTTCATCGCCAAGGAAATCCGCAAGCATAACTACCAGACTGTAAGATGCTATTGAGTAGGGAAGCGTTGAGGTTGACCTTTTTGTCTTACTAGATGGTGCGTCTCTTCACCTCCTTGGACGATGCTACTTTCAGGGCTGTGCTCTGGGATCAGGCTGTTCATTGCTTGGTAGAGTTGTCACTGAACGAAGGGTTGGTGATGCTGAATTTGTCTCAGGTCTGGCCTCCTTTTGTTCGCTACCCCGGCATCAGTGAGACTGCCAAGACTGATCTCCGTGCTTACACTGCTGCTGGCAACAACGTGAGATATTTACTTGCACGGGTGGAATGTAGTTTCACTGGTGATACAGGTTGTCTTCCTCGGAAACTACGTTGCTGTGCAGTTCATGAACGACGTCTACGGCTTCCAGCTCACTGATGACTATCAGAATGGCCCATACTACCGTAACGACCGCAATGTCCGCAACACTCCATTCCAGTACCTTCCATCTCGTGTGGAGCAGGCTTCCATCGAGACCTACGCTGTGAAGAGCCGTTCCCTCCCTCCAGGTTTGAACCCCCCTTTTCACATCTTGAAAGGTTCTGACGGATGCTGAAAAGGTGGTAAGAGCATGCTCGACACTCTCGGCGCTACTGTTGCGTTTGTGATCCGCTACGACCTTGGTACTGTTTGCTACATTGGGTACAACTACAACACTCCCTTCCATGCGGACCAATGGACCCGGGTGTTGCACTGCGCCATCGACATGTAAATGGCCTAGTTGTCAGTCGTCGCTGGATGTTTCAGTTTTCAATGGTGCAAATGTCTACCAAAGGCGATGGCGGCACAGCTCGGATGGGCAGTGGTGGTTATGACTTATTCAACATAGTTAAGCTGTACAAAGATGTCGGCAAAGTTTGCATGAGATGCTTTGTTCGGGAACCAAGTGGAAGGTGGTATAGCCTATCATTCTTTACACGTTGGCAGGAACTTTACAATACTCTAGTGAAATCAGTAAATCAAAGACAGAGAACTGCTGCACATTTCCTCCTTGATTTACCCTCATCATGACCACCAGGAACACATTGAATTGTTGAAGTGAGAACTGAAGGGGTGGATCAATTCAACAGTTGAAATGAACTTCAATACTATTTTCAAAATGATCCTTATTTAATGCTTGAGACTCACAATTTCAAAGATCGGTCTGTACACAAGCGCCACACCAGTCCCGTAAACCACAAAAGCGCAATCGAATAATCTCACGAGGGGGCATTCGTTGTTCTTTCATGTTTCAGGTTCGTCATGGGAATATACACAGTAAATGTTTTATCCCGCAACTTGCATTGCCACAAGATTCTCTTTAGTAAGAATGCTGTGTGAAAGAAGTGTAATGAGGAGCATGCCCTGTCCATCACAATGTTTCTTTTGCGCGTCAGGACAAGAGGTTGATGAGTTGATCAGATGTTTCTTTACAAACAAATTCTAAAACCCATTACTATGGATTCAACATGAAAGGCCGAACTGACCCAACACATCATCACCAAGCTCAATATGTCAGCCAAGCCACTTAGTTTCCCGGGCAGTCGAAGGTCTGCTGGTGGGGATCCTGGAGGGTGAAGGTGGCAGCGGAGCCATCCTGCCAGGACTGGGGGCAGAGGTTGTCATAGAAGCCCGGGCCAGTGGCCATGGGCTGGGTATAGAAGTAAGCAGGGAAGGAGCAATCCTGCAGGAATACGTCAGGTTGTTGCGAGGATCGAGCAATAGTATCATCCTCCAATCTATCAACCCAGAGACAAAATAACTTCTTCCACAGTTATGATCGACATCCGAACAGAAACTGCATCACCTAACCACGGACAACAACAAGACAATCTAAACTTTTGACAAACAAAATTTCATAGTTCATGATGAAACACTGCAATCGTGAATAAGTCTTTGTTCTCTGTTCACCGTAGATCAATCTGGAAGAAAACCCCAAGCATGATCCTCCTTGCTCATCACAGTGGACATCAACAATGACATAATCCACGTCCATGTTCACGTTATTATCACAGTATTGCACAAATTCTCTGCTTTATCATGATTGTCATGCTGGTAGCTCCTCGCAGTTCCCCCAATCCCATTATACATCTTTAATCCTTGAAGCGCATCTCCATCACTTACCAGCTTGGAGAAGAGCATGGCGACCGTGTCCCTTCACTCGCGCCTCTTCGAACTTATACCAGGCATCCCCCACCCTACCCCAGATGGAAATTTCAATCAGGGCAACTACCGGTATCCTGACAAGATACCCCCTTCTTCCTTTTCAAAGTACCCCTTCAGATCATTTACAACACAAGTTGTCATGACCCCCACCCCCAAAAAGGCTGTAACTAACCTACCACTATGGCCACAACATTTCCTGTACCCTACCCTCCCGTACCCCCCCGTACCCTCCCAATAGCCTACCCATCTATGTGTCTACCCCTACCTACCCTTTTCTAACTTTTTAACCCCCTCGGGTCAGTCGATGTTCAACATGGCTGCTCATCGAAAGGGAACCCTCACTCCGCATTGAATATGTCAGAGGTCATTGAGTACCCGTCCTTGATACTTCGATCACCCACCCTTCAGCCTGTAATTCCACCCAGATGGGGATGTCATAGTACCCCGACCCATGCACCGCAGTGGTTTCAGAGATCCTGAGGGGATACAGTACCGGTATGGGGTCAAATCCCAATCGAGCACGGGTAGTGGCTTATCCGATGCCCAAGAGGCATCCTTTTGGGAACTCTCTCCGAATAGTTCGAATGAAGTTTCACAAATCAACAGAAGGGTTTGAAATATCTGAGATCCTGATGAAACCGAACCGGGCCGGGCCCGTCAAAGAAAATCCCGAAGATCTTCAGTAGTTTAGCAACTTTCAATGGTGAACCGTTTAGATGCAAACTTCGGCGACGGATCAGAACTTCTGAACTCCCAAACTTTCTCCTGACGGCCCTTGGCATGCCATGGAAGCGTTGAGGAGTATACTCAGCCCTCGCCATGGCGCCGTCGCTGCCTTCTTGTCCGCCCTCAGCATATCCCTTCTCCTCGTGTCCCTTTCACCGAAGGTAACTTGTCTATTCCGGCTCGTCTGCCTTGCCTTGCTTCTTACTGAAACATCTCAGGCTGCCAGGAGGGATTCGAGACTAGAGATAGCTGCTCTCAGACCAGCCGAGGTAGAAGTTGTGATATGCAGCCACAATATACATGACTTGTCTCTGTCTTTGCAGGAATTTGTTATCCTGAGACCGAGGTTTAGGAGGATTCATCCCGCTTCGCTCTTCCGCCACCCTGTCAGGACTCAGTCCCTTTATTCAGCTTCTCTGGTAAAGTCATGTTCGAGTTGTGCTGTGCGGTTGTGTCGAGCATCGTCTGTTCCATGTTGGCATGTCAACGATGTGTTGCTGTTGTTCACTGTCGTACCCATGTGCTCTCACGTGGTCACGTGTTGTCTGGCAGCCCAACGATCCTCAAGAGTACCTTCAGCCTGCTCCCCACGTCGGCAATCCTGGCCTGTTCGCCTCCGACCGCGAGCCCATGAGGGGGGAGCCTTATGGGACTCCGGAGTACAAGTAAGTTACTTGCTCTCTTCAGCTCTCTAGAAACCTCCCTTCCATGTGCAGGGGTCTCACCACCTGCTAGGTATGCAGATGAGCCCCTGCCTTGCCCCTGCACTGCCGGGATCTGTCTGGATCTGCTCATGGATGAGGAGTACGATCAGGTTGGTTTTGATTTAGCTCCTTCCTCTTGTCTCCTTTGAATTGACTTCTCCCCCTCGTGACTCGTGCCGTTCGCCCAGGGACCGACTCCGTGCACTTGTAACTGCAACCAGCCAATGGCTCCATGATGATAATGCGGAGAGCAGCGGCATTGTACGGACAGAATCCGCATTTTTAACCTGTAACCATATCAGGATATTCCCTAGGATTTTTCTCTAGGAAGAAATATGCTTGAGAAGACCACACTTGTGTGATGTGCCACCAAGAATCAATTCATGAGATTTATGCATAATATGGAATTGGCATGTTCCTTCATGGGTCCAGCGAATGTGGGTCATATGGAAGAATAGTGCTTCCTCCAAGTTGCTTGGGCAGGAGGTCCAAATCGAAGCACTCTTGGACTGCTAGCTTCCACTTTGGTCGAAATAGTCAGCAAAACAATTTCAAGCTGCAGACTTACGTCACCTGCTCAGGGGAGCTGTACAACCCAACTTTCTGCTTTGTGACATCATCCAGCAAGGGCTTGATAAGGCTGGAACAATCAACCAATGAGTCCAACTGCAGCAATAGAACAGGGATAAACCTCCAGCACTTGGAGAACACCGAAGGAACATTGATCAAGAAGATCTTCCCGGCTCTGAAGCGAAAGAGTTCAGAAAGGATTGGGAATTCGCAGCAAGTGGTCAACACCTCTCTGGATAGTGATTGGAATTCTTGTCAACGAACTGGCGAACGTACTGCAATCGCCGCAGTCATTGACAGCCCAACAAAACACACACACGCAATTGAAAGTGACTCCCACCTTCATGTGCTTCATCGTTAGCTGCCCCAAGTTCCATCCGTCCAGGTCCACAATGATCACCCATTGCCCATGAAAATTCATCTTCGCTGCCAGCCTCTCCATCATCCAGATGTTGTACCTCGCAAGGTCGTCATGGTGGAGGTTGGCGACTTTCTCCAGCTTGTCGGCGTCGAACTGACGCCCGAAGTTCTGATAGAAGATCGGTCTTCCCATCTTGCAGGTGCCCAGGTATCCATGAGGAAACATCTGATCATGGAACTGCTTGCCTGCTGGGTTCGTATCTCCACGGAGCATCTCCCGGGCCGTCTTGGACCGGATGGTCAACGAGTCCTCCTTCTCCCTCCATTCCAGGTCGTGCTTGAGCATCTTGAAGGCATCTTTCACCTTGCCCCTCCTAGCAACAAGAAATCTTGACAGCAAGTCGTCTACAGTCTCCGCGGCCCTGTGCTTGTCCACAAGCCCCATGAGGCCGGCGGCTTCAAGTTCATGTTGGAGTTCTTGAATCGTTCCTTTCATCGCTGAAATACTGATGCAATCTACCTCCTCCAGAGCTTGTTTTGTTGCAAGTAAAGTTGCAGCTAGACGGAGTCTTCTCTTTTATGCAAGGTTACGTGTTGTGCTACAATCGCCTTCGACAATCTTAGCTTACCACCTAGTAGTGAGCGCTCTCTGTTCTCCTTGAGTGGGACCTGGTGTATGGGTTGCTGTTAGCTCGTGTGTGTTCGGGTTCTGCAGTGTCTTGATATAGCTTCTCTTCTTCGTTTTATCTTGCTCCTTCCATCTTCATCCCTCCTGTTCTCTCACTTCCCATGGAGACTCCCTCCCCTCCCCGCCTTCCTTTCCCCCATACCCCCACCCCCACCCCCACCCCTGGTAACCTTCGTTAGATATAAGGCTCCACCACCCGTCACCTTCAACTGTCACTACCCCCACTTTGACCCAACCCCAGGAACCTTTGCCTTACCCAAGACTACCCCTACACCCCCATCTCATGACAACTGCCATCAGATGGCTGCTATCGCATGACCACCACTTTGCCTCCTAAAAATTAGCTTACTTGTCACCCCACCCATCAAATTAAGGTGAAATGTAGGGGTACACATGGACTCCACAAAGGACCCCACCCACTTTCTTGAAGTTGCATTCTTCTAGAACCACATCCCCCCTCAGCCCACATGAAACCATGACATCACAAGAGCCCCGGGCCGAGACCGACTCGGAGAGTCGAGTCGGCCGGGCCCGGAGACCAGAAGGTGAGGCGGGCTCGGAACTGGGCAACAATCGCAAGACAGGGCGCTACATGTTGGGTAGGATGCAGGACAGGCGGAAGAGGAGGGAGAGGGGAGGCGGGGGAGAGGAGCAGGTAGAACGATGCAAGTATGGGAGAGAGTGTAGATTTTGAGATCCGCCTACCATCATATCCTTCTTCTCCGAACCTCTTCCACAAACAATTACTTGTCAAATAACTTTGCTTCATGGCAGAATCGAACTTCACCCGCAAGGCATTGAAGCAATGCGCTCAAGACAGACTGTCTACCCATCTGTGCTCCTGCTTCTACATTTGCTGTTCTTTTCGTGCTGCCTGGCATACAGAAACGTCCAGCTTCTGTCCGGCAGTCGGTTCCCTTCCCCACCGATCAGCCCGAGGGGGAGGGAGCGAGCAACAAAGTTCTACTGTCAGGATGTGAGAAGGCCCGCGCTATGAGGCTCATGATCTGACATCGTCTCTCAGTCCCGGGATGTCTCCAAGGGTTTCAACGTGCTCGAGCTGACGGGCGGGTACAGTAGGTGGCCGTTCTTTGCTGATCCGAAGTGTGGGCAGGTGCCGTCGTGCCGCAGGGATTCCTTGTGACAGGAAAGTTCCCGGAGCTCACAATGGAGCGGCAGATGCGACTTGTGCGTTCTCATGCCATCGTGTAGGTGTGAAGTCCGGGTGGAACTTCGCGTGGAAGACTTTGATGCGGGAGCTTGCTCCTCAGGTTAGTAGGTCGTGGGGGGAGAGGGGGGGAGGGGGAGGGGGAGGGGGAGAGGGGACAGGAGGTGTGTAACTTGAGCACGAGCAGAGCAAAGACGGGTCGTATGTCAGGCCCTCCTACAACTTCAAAGGTCTCGTCGTGTCTGTCCAGTCCTTCCTGAGGCTGCTGGTGTGCTGATCCTGTGACCGTCCAGGGGTGATAGGGAAAGGGAGTTTCCCCGATGAGGTAAGCAGCGCAAGAAATGCGCTCCTCCCTTCCTGAAGGCGCGACGGCCAGAGCGGTCGATACCACCTGTACGCGGGGAAGGCGTGTCCTTGGTGTCATCGGGTCGAGCTCGTGCGGAGCGTCCGAGGGCTGCAGGCAGGAGGAGAGCAGCAGGAGGTTGGGGTCCCTGAAGGAAACATGGCAGGACTACCTGTCCATGACGACGGTGCTGGATCGCCCGGAGGAGGCGTCACGTGGTGGATGGGTGTTTGGCTCCCATGGTGATGTTGAGGGGGAGAGGCCCAGCTGCTGTTTGACGGCGGTGCCAGATCCTGACCCTGTCGTGCGAGCGAGGGACTTGCGGGAAGTTTACGACGCCCTAGTTCCCGGAGGCTTCCGAGGGAGATGCACTGTGTGTTGCTGGGTGTGTGTGGATGGCAGGCTGAGTGACGGGGAGGCATGTAGGCACCGCTTCTCGTCTGCAAGAGGACGAAACAAGTTGGGCTCGTTAGCACGTTCTTGCCATGCTGACGAGGATCGAACAGGTCGTCAGCAACGAGAGCGGGGATTTGATGAGGATGCTTAACAACGTTGCGCCAAAGGCATCGGACGCCCTGTCAGAGGAGCAGAGGCTCCGGCGGAGGATCGACTTGTATCCTCCTGAGCTGCAGAGGGAGATCGATGAGTTGAATCACTGGATCTACGAGGATGTGAACAACGGAGTATACAAGTGTGGGTTCGCCACCACCCAGGTGATGGAGATTTTGATGATAGAGATTGTCAATTCATTGTGGGATGAGCTATGAGACTTTGAATGGTAGAGATTGTCAATGATGAGCAATTTGCTCATGAACACCTTTATCGCTGGGTGGTTTTAGGGTTGATGTTGATGAAGACAATGGCTGTTTGGTGCCACCTGCTACTGATCGATTCATTCCCTCAGGCTGGTTACAACAAGGCAGAGCACGCCCTCACGCACGCCCTTGACAGGATCGAGGAGATTCTTTCCAACAAGGTCTCGGGATTGATTGAACTCGACCTTCTCTCACACAGCTGCAGCGCTTTCTCACTGGTGACAGAGTGACCGATGCCGACATCAGGCTCTTTCCTACTATCTTCAGGTTATGTCAATGTTGCAGACATCAGCAACGTTTCTCCCTCCCGCCTCCCTCCCTCCCTGCCTGCCTGCCTCCCTCCCTCCCTCTCTTCGAACCGTTTGGCATCCATTGTTGGGCCTCATCAGCATCCAGGTACGACGCTGTGTACAACATCCTGTTTCGATGCACTAGGAGGAGAGTGGCGGACATGCCGAACCTCAAGGCATGGCTTCAAGACATGTACCAGGTGAATGCGCACTGCCTGCCTCGGTTTTTCCTGCCGTGTGGTGTTCTTACGTTCGATGTCACAATGGGCATGCAAAACAGTCATGGCAACTGTTCTAGTCTTTTCGCTGACAGATCAACAGGTTCCAGGGGTGAAGGAGACTTGTGACTACAACGCTATGAGAGAGTCCTACTTTCGTCAGCTCTTCCCCCTCAACCCTTCAGGCATACTTCCTGCAGAGCCTGCTGACGTCATCAGGGAAGCAAGTGGGAGGGGTGCTCACGATGTAGCAAGTCTTTTCTACATCAGAGAGGAATGAGCAATGGAGAGAGCGAGGGAGCGAGAGAGATAATACTTCCAAAAACGGATCTTTTACTGTATGAATGACCGTGCAAGCACAACTTTGATAATTTACTCTTTGCCCTTGCCCTTCTTCTTCTGCATCTTCTTCTGGTAGAAGGCAAGCTCAGCTCCCTCAAGGATGTATCCTGCATGTCCAGTCAGACTTCTTTTTCATCCAAGGCAGCTAGAGGAGGCAACTCACCATCGCAGCGGCCTGACTGACCAGGACGAGAGGCGACGCAAGCAAAGAGACGACCGGTCTTGAACTGATCCTGAACGGCAGGATCCATAGCACCTCCGGATTTTCTGTTTGCTTCTCTCTTCTTAAGAACCTTATTGCTTACCTTAGTTTCCTGCAACAGCATCGTCAATTCTGACACGCCTTCACTCGATTCTCCTTCCTCACCTGATCTGCCTTCTTGCCGAGCTCGCCACCGTAATGCTGAACATACCACTGGCGGAAGGGAGTGGCATCAATCTGGATGATGGCATTCTTCACCAGTGTCTTCGTGCGCACCAACTCGTTGTTGGAAGCGTTGTACACAACATCAAGGACACGGCACTTGCGGCTAATGGCCTCAGATCCCCAGGAGAAGTTTCCATGCTCAAGACGGAGGGCCCTGTGCTTCTGGTGACCTCCTCTCACACGAACGAGGCGGATGCGCTTCGGGCCGATCCTGGTGCCAGCAGCAGCTCTTCCCAACTCGAATTTCCTCTTCTTGCGGTACTGGGGCTGCTTGCCTCCTGTCGCTCTGCGCTTCTTGTAGGAGTTCCTAGTGATACCTGGGAAAAAAAATATCAGGGATGTGAAGTGAGAGCAGGGAACAGTATTGGTGTTTGTGAGGTGCCTTCTCATCATCATACGATCCACAAGCATGATTATCAGCCTCCAGCCCATCACATGGAACAGAAAAGCATTTGTGGCTCAAGATCGAGCACATTAGCACACCGCTCTGTGTATAGTGTATTTGTTCGAGGACAGTGTTGGTATGAACGAATATCAGCTATCCACAGGATGTGCTCTTATCAAGCCAACAAAATGACATGAGGCGTCATCAAATTTGCAGCACACATTGGGCACGAGGGCATGATTGACAGCACATGCATGATTCCTGTTCATGGTTCTTGCTCTTCTTATGCGCAATCAGTGTACACTCGGAATGAATGAAGAAGACAGACACAGGACGAAACATCCTTGCAAGCACAGCATGCCATGCAACATGCCACAGCTACGAAATGCTACCAATCACATTGAAAATTGTAAGTATTCCTGTCATTCTTTGTATGTCGTATCTCTCCTCTCATCTCAGAATCATAATCATCGTCATCTTCTGCCATCCTCCTCCTCTTCCTCATCCACATCATCGCCTCCGCCGCTTCACTCACCCATTGCGCTCACGAGCCGCCTACGCGCGTGCGGTTTTTTTTTAGAGTAATAACAGTGGTGAAGTTTTAATGGCTAAAACTAGATTTAGATAATTCTACAGAGATCTGCGGGAAGGTACTATTATATATTACTTATGAAGGTTTACATTACTGTAAAATAATAAAAAATAGATATAATTTATTCTTCAGTCTTCCTCTTTGTATTGATAACATGAATAAGTAACAAATTAGTACAAACTCAAGAAAAATGAAAGTCGATCTCCGGTACATCCAGAAATACCCAGGCTGGTAACATAATAGATTTAGGGGGCATTTACATTGAGTTTTTACTGTCGGCGGCCCGGGCTCGAGGGTCCGGTGTGCCCCGGGTTGCTCAGAAACTTTCTCAGACTTCGAAACTCTCAAGGTTTTGTCACTTGAAAGTTTTGAGGACTCAAGTCTCAAAGTCTCAAAGTCTCAAAGTCTCAAAGTCTCCCCGGAAGCCTCAGAAGTTCTAAGTTTTGAAGTTTCAGCGTCTCAAAGTCTGGAGGTATTAAAGTCTCAAAGTCTCAAAGTCTCAAAGTTCGTGCGGCCAAGATGCATCCCGCCAAGTTCGCTCGGCTCATGCGGGTGGCCATCATCGGCAGGCCCAACGTGGGGAAGGTGAGGAGGAGGAGAGAGAAGAGGAGGGAAGAGAGAGAAAGGGGAGATAAGAGACTGGATGAAGAGGACGAGGGGAAGATGGAGATAGCAAGGATAGCAGGATACGCGAGTTGCTGCAAAGAGTTAGGAATAGCACGTGGGTTCTTGGGGTACTGTGAAGGAGAAGAGTAGAGAGGCAGGGCATGCTGCATCATGACATCAAGGTCGGATCGATCAGCAGCAGGAATTTTTATCATGACGACGTTGGTTAGTGTAGAGGAAATTTACAACAACGTGACGGGAAGTCAGGGATACGTCGTTACAAACCTCACCATGTTGTAGCGGTTGAAGCTTTCAGACATGTAGAGATGCCAGAGATGTTTTAGAGTCTGTAGTATATCCTTCATTTGGTTACAAGGTGTGTGTGAGAGAGAACGAATGGAGGCACCTGTGCTAGTCGGAGGATCGAGAGATGTTTGACATGATTATGATTCTCTTACCTTCTCGCATTGTTCCACCTTTCCTCCAAATACTCGGCTGCTATTCTGACCCCCCCCTCCCCTTCCTTCCCCGCCTTCTCCTCTCCTCTGCTCCGCTTTCCTGCTCTTTCCGCTCCGCTCCTTCCTTTCTTTCTCTTTTCATTTGCTTATTGCAGTCCTCGCTGTTCAACCGTCTCATCGGAAGGCAACATGCGCTTGTTTACAACAAGCCGGGAGTGACGAGAGACTGTCTGTTTGAGAAGGCGGAGTATGGGGGTTTCACCTTCGAGGTAATTGAGATGACGAGATGAGTGTCGGGAATGGAGGTTGTTGTAGCACTGGACAATGTTGTGCTGTGATTGTTTTGTGGAGAAGATGATGCTGGTCGTGGTGGTGATGGTGATGATGGTGATGGTGATGGTGATGGTGATGGTGATGGTGATGATGATGATGATGATGATGATGATTACTTTTGATACAGGTGGTTGATACGGCGGGGCTGGATGATGGGGTTGACATGCAGGTGCTGACGACAACAAACCTTGAGATATTATGATCCTGTGCATGTTACAGGAGGACGAGGCGGAGATGAGAAAAGCGGGTCCTCAGATGAAGGCGAGGTAGGAGGAGGGTGCTACTATGTGTGAGAGGGAGACCGATCGAGATGAGATGAGAGGCGAAAGGTTGGAAGAGACTGTGAGAGAGAAGATGTGGTAATGGGGGACTGGATAACCTCAAGGGGAAGCAGAAGCTGAGTGGATATGGAGGGGAAGAGAGATGCAAGAGAGGATCTGCGATGGAAGGGAGGAAAGAAGGAGGAGTGAGAAAGAAGAGGAGGATGAGGAGGACGGAGGGGGCGAGGGGGAGGAGACAAAGAAAATAAAGCATCCTGAGCTCTGGTTTTGTTAGTGGGATTGGACGATGGCCAGCCCACTTGCTGACGGAGGCGCTCGAGAATACATCGCTCGTGGTGAAGAGCTCGGTGAGAGTTGTGACTGAGCAAGGAGGAGAAAGAAGCAGAGTAAGAGAGGGGAAACAGACGGAGACGGAGACAGAGACAGAGAGAGAAGAAGGGACGAGCAAATAGAGAGGAGGGGAAGAGGGCGGAGGAGTAAGAGAGGACGTGTGCAGGAAGAGGATAAGGAGTGTGACATGCCATGTAGGATCTTGTTCTCTTCATGGTGGATCAGCGTGTCGGTCTCACTCCTCTTGACTGGCAATTCGCGCGATGGCTGGCGATGAAGAACAAGCCGACGCTTCTGATCTCGAACAAGGCAGATGGGAATGTCAGCCCGTTGGATGAGGTTTGTGATTTAGATTTTTTGATGATGGTGCTGTAGAACTTGGCGAATATCAGCGTGACTGGAATGGTTTTTAATCCTGTGATTGTGCTGTCGTTGTGTTGTTGGCACTGGGATTTGATTTGAAGTCTGTGAGATTGTGGTATGGCAAGAGTATCGATGTTGGCAAGAGAACGGTGCTGAATGCTGTCAGATCGAATGAAGTGTTTGCTTGCAGAAAGATGTCAAGAAATTGGGGTTGGGGGAGCCGTTGCATATCTCAGCAACACAGAACGAGGGGATGAGCGAGGTGAGAAGAGGCAGTTTGGTCAAAGTGTCTCCCAGATATTGACAAGGGATGATACGAAAATCTTCTACCCCTGTGAAACACTTGCGACTAGACTTGACTGCTCTTGCAGCTGATCATGCACATGGCTCCGATCATCATGGGTGTTGACCGAAAGAATCGACAAATCTCGACAGAATGGAAGAGTGAAGAAGAAAGGTACGCTGACGCTGATATGAAGAATGGTCAGACATATTGTTTCAAGATGGGGAGATGTGCTGTATACTGTTTGCATTGGATGGCTGGAGTATCCAATCTTCGATTGAATTGATCTGTGTTGTGTTGTGCCGCCTTATCTACAACTCGCCTTTCCTAACGGTCGATAACTTCATTCTCTTGCCGTGGCTCAGACGGTTGAGACTTCTCATTCTGGGGAGGCCGAACGTTGGAAAGAGCACGCTGGTCAACGCGCTAGTTGAAACGCAGGCTGACGAGAAAAAGGAAGATTTTGTTCCCCTCCTAGTGGGGCCCGAGCCCGGTACTACAACCGGGGCCCGGGGATGTTTGACCTGACTAGAGCACGGCAGGAATCACTAGGGACCCTGTTTCTGTTATCTTCGAGCATCAGTATGAGTGTGAGAACGCTGGATATGGTTGCTGATCCGTGTCCTCTTACAGGGGGCAGCAAATTGAAGTGATCGACACGGCCGGTCTGCGAAAAAAGGGCAAAACCATGCAACATGGCGACGCGATCGACATCAAGACTTCATATGTGAGTAAGGAGGAGAGGAGTTGCAGATGGAGAAGGGGAGATGAAGAGAGACATTGGGAAGTGAGGGAGGAAAGAAGCGGACAAGGAAGTCAGGGGTCGAGCAGAAAGGAGGAGGCAATACAAAGTTGAGTGTGGAGCAAAGAAGATGTGAAGGGCAAGGCAGAGGGATAAAGAGAGGAGCAGGAGCAGGAGGAGCAGGAGCAGGAGAGGAGCAGGAGCAGGAGCAGGAGGAGCAGGAGAGCAGGAGGAGCAGGAGGAGCAGGAGAGCAGGAGGAGCAGGAGGAGCAGGAGAGCAGGAGGAGCAGGAGAGCAGGAGGAGCAGGAGAGCAGGAGGAGCAGGAGGAGGAGCAGGAGGAGCAGGAGGAGAATAGAAGAGCCTTGACTTGTTCTCCTTGCATGTCAGGCTTCTCTCAAGAGGGTCCCACGCGCCGATCTGGTACTGACCTGGCTGTGCTTGTTGGAATGAGCTGAAAACGACGGCAGGTCATCCTGCTCCTTGAAATAAACAAGCAGACGGGCCTCCTGACAGAGCAAGACATCACTCTTGCGACAGAGGTTATAAAGGAAGGTATCCCGACATGCTTGTTGTGTCCTCCTCCTCTCTCACTCTCTGACTTCCCTTGCCATTCTTCCCACAGGGAAAGCGATTCTGGTTGCGGTCAACAAGTGCGATACCCTCTCGAAAGAAGAACTTGCTAATGTCAAGAAGAGCAGGTCGGCTACAGTAACCTGGCTGCTGCCCCCAACCCCCCTCATCCCCACTCTCCCTTTCATTTCATCCCACCCACTCCCTCGCCTTCTCTGTCACCCTTCCCCCCTTTTTGCCTTAACTTCTCCCCATTCTTCTGTTCTTTTTAAACTCTTTTCGCCTCGGTGAATGACTCTGTTGATCTCAGCCCAAGGATCTTGAACATGTGCTTCAATCAACTGGGAGAAGTTCCCACAGTAAGAAGAACCTGCTCACCTGTGTACTCATTGCACTGGATCTCAAACTCCCTCGTCCCTCTTGCAACTTCTATCCCCCTTCTAGCTTGCTCTGCCCGTCCCCTTCCGTCCCCTCCCCTCCCGTTCGCATCCGTCCTGTCCTCTTCTTCTTCCTCTCCCACTTTCGTCCTTCCATCATTTCGCATTCTTCTGAACTCGTTTGCTCCTCGACTCCCGCAGGTCTTCATTTCAAGTCAAAATCGTCTAGGACTGAAGCAGCTGATGACTGAAGCGATCAGTCTCCATGAGAAGTCGAGGACGAAGCTATCAACCGCTGGTAATATTGACATCCCACTTTCGCTCTCGTTGCCTCACTCCCTTCTTCTACGCTCTTCTCGTTGTCGTCGTCCAGATCTGCAGCGATGGGTCCATGACATCAAGAGGATAGGGAAGATGAGCCCTCCCACCTTTCCGAACCTCAAGTTTGCCAGGTGAGGCGATCCAGACAGAGAGATCCAGTGACTTGCAGGAGGAGGAGGAGGAGGAGGAGGAGGAGGAGGAGGAGAAAGTAAGAGGCTGCTGATCGTGGTTACCAACAGACAAGTCGACACCAAACCTCCTACCATTGTCTTGACATGCTCGAGGTCCGTCAGGAGTACGACAGCGTACATGGCGTACTTGACGTGAGTTGCTTGCCGAGTCTTGAAAGATGAATTTGATTGAAACTGACTGTACCTGCTCACCAGGAACGATTTTCGTAGGACATTTGGTCTGGACGGGGTTCCGGTGACAGTCATCTTTGTTTGATCGATACTGCGTTTGCTCACACTGCCTGTGGCAGCTCCGAATCTTACTCAGAGAAGAGCTTTCGCAAGCAAAGAAACAATAGCAGCGCTTTTATGAGTGCTCCCGACTCTACCGTCCGTCGCTCTGAGTAAACTTTTCACTGAGTTTTGATTCCGACGAGTGGGGCCTAATAGTAGCCCAGCTGCGGCGGCTCTACTAGGCTAATTGAGAGTCTACCCAGTGCCGGTCACCGGGTGGCGTGACGATGGCTCACTGACTCAGTGAGTCAGTACATGGAAGCGCCTGAATGACCCGGTGGGCCACTGGCCGGGGCCACAGGCGGCTCCCGCGATGGCCGTCGGGGCCAGGCCCGCGCCCCCGGGCCCCGGCCCGGGAGAAGTTTACCGTGGCAGCCCTTCGTTGTGACGGCCCCGGCCCGGTTGTTGTGACCGTCCGGATACGGTCGGACCCAGGGCCCGCCGCCCCGGCCCGCCCGCTGCGGGCCAGCACGTACGGTGTAAGGCCTACCGTACCGTATGATCCTCCAGGCTTGGTATGATCTTGTGACAGAACCATCTTCAATTCATATCGACTTTTAGTGGAGTATAGGTGCAAAATTGGTCTTAGTTCGCATTGTTTCGGCGGGCGGATACCTCATGACGCAACGATTCAGTGGGGCAACTTCTTTCTTCCTGGCCAATCGATGCAAGTTGAGTAGTCGCTGCTGACCCCTGCCGGCCTCTTCAAGCCACATCCCGAGAGGCGGCGACTGCGGGCCACAACCGGAAGATGCCGACGAACAAACAGAATCTAATGCAGGAGACCAAGAGCGATACCGATAGGATCCATGGCCCCAGCTTCCTCCAGCCCTCCAAACTCCTGCGCAGCCAGCAGGTCCCCCCCTCCCGATCCTCCATCTGCCAGGATGGAAGCTTTGTCACTAGCAGCGCCCAATCCATCCTAAAGAAGACGATCTGGACAGGGTCCCCCAGACTCAAGTCGATCGATCGGAATGGGAACTTTCACTGCAGCATCAAATAGCACCAGTGCAATCATGGGACTCCTTCCAGGGTATGGGGGGCTGACCATGTTATTGTAAATTAGTTTCCACGTTGTTCACTATTCACACCAGAACGTATTATTCGCCAAAGAATAAAAACAACTTGAGCCTTCTTGAGATGACTTATACTTTCTTTTGTTTTTCTCGCATCAACCTAATTGTCAGGCAGACAAGAAGGAGATTGGACGATCAGTGTGGGAAACAGCATCAGGAAAGAATAGAGGGGGAGGGGGAGGAATACAAGGGAGGAAAGGGAGGAATAGGAATAGGAATAGGAATAGGAAGGGGAATAGGAAGAGGAAGAGGAAGAGGAAGATGAATAATAGAAACGGAGTGCCAGAAGAGAGGGAGATGGTGAACATGCTGATAAAAACATTAATTGTGAGGGATATTGGATGGAAAGACTATTCTGAGAGCGGTGGTCAAGAATGGAGAAAAACATTAATTTGCCGTCACGACTCTGAAAGAGGAATGAAGCAGGAGAGTCGGGAGACAGAAACGTCAAAGGAGGGAAAGGGCAAAGCAGAGGGTTTGGAAGAGGGGGAGAGAGGTTCAGGAGAGGGGAAATGGTAGGTTTAATAGTTGCAGCTGAGATCTAATCTTGAAGCCTATTAAGGCTGCTGACTCTGATTCTAAGGACGCTTGCCGGTGATTAGAGCCCTCGCTAATCAGAGAAGGAAAAACATTTCGTATCTCTGCTGTTGCCAACCATTCTCACAACCATTCGGAGGGGAGAGAAGGGACTTGCTGTAGTTCACGGTGTGTAGGAGGAGGGGCCGGGTCCGTTGGAGGCGGGTCAAGAGACGTCAGCACGCCATGGTTAGAACCCTCCCCCGTCCAACCACTCCTGCAAGCTGATCACAGTATCGTTGTTCATGTCGTACAGCCTCAGAAGCTTGAGCGACGCCGCACGGAGCTCCTGATCCGAAGGCCTGACGTAGTCCTCAATCCCCCCAACGACCTCGGGCTCATCGTGGCTCTTCTTGAAGAGGAGGAACAGCTCTTCCTCGCTCATGGACTTGTCCTTGTCAGCGTCCGCATCCTCGAACCTCTTCTTCAACCTTGCAATCTCCTGCGGGCTCACGTCGCTATCCAGGATGCCCGAGGGGTCGAAGATCTCTGCCCCGTCCTTGAACTCGGGGATCTGCGGCCGGCTGTGAAACATCATCGCCCTCCACTCGTTCCAGGTCACGAAGCCGTCCTCGTCGGTGTCGTACTCCTTGTATGCCTCTTCGGCCTTCTCCTGGGGAACAGTTGCCGTCCAGTCCTTCCCGTACATGTATGCCTTCTTGTCGGGAAGAATCTGCTTCCGCTCCGAGATGTTCCACGTCTCCCATCCCCCCCAGCTGTTCTCGGCGTTCCAGACCTCGAAGTTGGCGTCTCTCAGCTCTCGGATGAACTCTTGCCTGCTCAGCTTGCCGTCGCCATCGAAGTCTCTCGCCAAGAAGTACGCCCTGCACACCCACAGCGAGCCGTCAGAGGAAGAGGGCAGCGAAAGGACGCATGCGCATGGAAGGAGACGAAGGAAACAATGAAGCATCGGGTAGAAGGCAAACAGGTTCGATGTGCTTCACCTTTCCACGTCAAGGAGCGACTGCACGGTACCGTCCTCAGACTGCCCCTCTTTCTCATCATCAAATGAGTCTGAACCTCGACTGCTCGCATCTCGTCCATTCTCATAATCCTCGTCCAACCCACTCAGAGCAGCGTCAAGGATCTTAGATCCGTCCTCGTCCTCGGACTCCTGTCCTGACCGAACAGAGGGCGGGGCCTGGTGCCTGTTTGTGCCTGGTGCCCTGGCCTCACTAGGCTGTGGCGGGATGTCAGAGGACGAGGACAGCAGCAGGAAGCATGGCTGCATCAGGAGAATGGCGCATGCTACTGTTGCTGCCCTCCACCTCCCTGCCATAGCCACGTAGCTCCTCCACCACGATTTGTAACAGATATGATACGTGGTGGCGAGGGGTACTGCGTAACATACCTGTAACGGACTTTGCTCAATCACTGAGAGTCATTGCCGGCCATACGGCCCGGGGCCGCGGCCGCGGCAGTGCCGAAGTGGATGAGGCGGTTACTGCTGAATGACCTTTTTTTAGGCGTTTGAAAGGGCACAAGAAGTCAGAATGGGAAGTATGAAGGATGAAGCATGAAGCATGAAGTATGAAGGATGAAGCATGAAGCATGAAGCATGAACTAATGAACGAAGACTTTCATGAAGTGGGAGAGAAAACATAATATGGCGGGGGCAAAGAGAATGTGCCACAGAACAAGTGTAGAGTCCAAATTGAGGGGCTGGCGATCAAATGCGATTTGTGCTAGGCTTTCAAAGGTACGATCATAACAGTCACTGTTAGTCAGTCAGTCAGTCAGTCAGTCAGTCAGTCAGTCAGTCAGTCGGTCCCAGTCAGTCGGTCAGCCAGTCCATCTGTCCGTCACCAACGAGTCTTCCATTATGCCTTGTTGATCTACGATGTTGCTGAGCTGCTGATCTCAGATGGTCATTCGTGGATCAGCGCTGATGCTGAAACGAAGATCGTCGTTCGAGCATGCAGCCGACAAAACGATCGCTGACAAGTTCCTTGTGTCTGGGAAAGTTACAGCGCAGCTCCCGCCGGAGAACAAGAGGATCAAGGTCGGGGTCCTGGAGAAGGTGAGCAAGGTTGTTTGCATGCTCTTCATGACCTTGCTGGTGCGATGGTCAGTTCGCAACGTCTACCTCCAAGTGGCAGCAGCGACAGGCGAGCTGGGATGCTTGTCTGCTGACGTGTGGCTGATGTAGAGGGTCTCAGGTTGTGGTGACCAAGAAGCAGATCATAGTGTCCAAGTTGAACTCGGACGTCGTTCACGAGGTCATCCCGCTGCATGAGATCGAGAGCATCAACATCGTCAACAACACTCGAGACATACAGAGACGGTCTGCTGCTCGATAACTGCTGGAAGTCGACAGCTGACTTGTCCTCGTCGACAGGTCTTCCGTGTTCCACACTGCCACCCCGCACAGTAACTGAACCTCTGGCAAGCAACTGGACCCTGAGCATGCTCGCAGGTCACAAGGACGAGACGCACGAAGTCAACGTCAACGTCGAGACGTTTGCGTTCGAGATCATGACGTCTCAGGACGGATACAACGCCGGACGCAGCTACTGCTTCCGCACCGACAGCTCTGAAGAGGAGCGTGACCTGTGGGTAGAGTTTCTAAGGAAGGCTTGCAAGATCGCTGTCGACATGGAGCGGAGGACCGACCCGAACCTCTCCAAGATCGTGTGGCTGCAGCTGATCCTGCGCGATATTCTCCAGTCCAAGGGTTCGCAGGCTCTTGTGTCCGCTGTCATCCTCACAAACTTCGTGATCAACATCTTGGCGGCAGAGTACCTGCCGGAGGACGGGACATACATGCTGAGCGTCTTCAAGAAGCTTGATATCTTCTTCACAGTGCTCTACACCTTCGAGTTCATCCTCCTCCTCTTTGCGTTCGGGAAATCTTTCTGGATGGACGGCTGGAGGATCTTCGACTTTCTGGTACCTGCCCTACCTCGCCCCTGCTGCGTTCCTCACCCTCACATCCCTTAGATCGTCGTCGTGAGCATCGCCGGCCTGACTATCGCGGAGAACGTTCCCAACCTTTGCTGTGCTCTGCCTTGCCGGCTGACTGTCCTCCCTAGAGCAAGTTCCAAGTCGTCCGCCTCATTCGAGTCTTTCGAGCCGTCAAAGCCCTTCAGATCTTCAGCTCTTTCCGGCAAATCATCAACGCCCTCACGTGCGTCCCTGCCGCGCCCCTCCTGCCACTCGCTCACCCTTCTCCTTTGCAGGAACTCCATCCTTCCCGTCTTCAGCTCCTTCATCGTCCTCGTCCTCGTCACCTGCATCTACGCCGTGATCGCAGTCAACCTGTTCAGCAGCAAGAACTTCATCTATTTCGGTAACTTCAAGAGAGCGCTCTTCACCATGTTCACGGTTCTGCCCTCTCCGTCTCCTCCCTCCGTCTCCTCAACTCCTCGCAGGTCTGTACGGGGGACGGATGGGCAGAGCTGACCCGGTCGCTGACTAACCCCGGGGAGTTTGACGGCTGGATTGCTTTCTTCTTCACCTCATACGTGATCATAGGTCCCTCTTCCCCACTCTCCTCGCTCCTCCTCCGTACTCTCCTTCCCTCCCCTTCCTCTCTCCTCCCTCTCTGGCTTCCTGCTTCTTCCTTCTCTCATTCTCCCTTACTACTCCCTTCTCTGTCTCTCTCGCTGCCCTCCTTACATCCATTTCTTCGTTTCACTCCCTGCCTGCCTGCCTGCCTGCCTGCCTGCCTGCCTGCCTGCCTGCTTCTCTCCCTCTTTCCCTCTCTCTCTCCTTCTCTCCTACTCTCCCCACTCCTTCCCTCCCGCTGTTCTCTTCCCTTGCCACTTGCTACCTCCTCTCTCTCCCTCAATCTCTCACTGCTTCCCTCTTCACCCCTTCCTTCTTTTCTCCCTCCTCTGAGTCTTCCCGCAGGAGGCATCGTGCTTGTCAACGTAGTAGTCGCCGTCCTCCTCGGTACAGCTGAGCATCTGACTGCTCGACGCGGCTGAGCATGCTGGCAGATGAGTTCGTGGAGTCAGTGACGATGGAGAAGGAGCAAATGAAGAAGGCGGGAGTGAAGGAGCTCTCGTACATGGAGAGCTTTCACGTCGGGCCCCTCGACCCTCTCCTCGCCTCCCTCGTCCACTACAACACCAACGACGATCTCAGCGAGAGGATCGCGAAGCTCTTCGACTACCTCGACAAGGACGACAGCGGCTTCCTCTCCTTCAAGGAGCTCTCCACCGGCCTCCGGCACCTGGACAAGGATCATGCCATGCACTTCTCCTACGAGGACTTCGATGAGATCACCGAACACTTCCTCTTCTGCAACGAGGAGGAGGAAATCTCTGCCGACAACTTTGAGCTTATCGTCCGCGCGCAGCTCAAAAGGTACGTTCAGCGACGGATGGCTGCTACCATGGTAGAGGCAGACTTGGACTCGTCCAAGGCCAGCCCCGTCCTCTTCGTCTTGAAGCAGCTCACCCTCAACATCGAGGAGGTGAAGTAGCAGCTGAACGCCTAATCTGCTGCTGCTGCTGCTGCTGCTGCTGCTGCTGCTGCTGCTCTTCTACATCTGGCTCCTCTTTATCCTACTCCCTCCTCCGTCCTCCCTTATCCTCTTCCTCCTCTTCCTCCTCACTGCTCTTCCTTCAGATCAGCGACCACCAGAAGAAGATCGACAAGGAGCAGCAAAAGCTCAAAGAGTCGGTAAGACTGACCAGCTGCTGCACAACCGAGGATACCACCTTCCTCCCTCCTTCCCTCCATCACTCCCTCCCTCCCTCCCTCCCTCCCTCCCTCCCTCCCTCCCCTGTGACTCTGGGGCGTCAGGTCGCCAACATCAAGGATCAATTCCTCGTGAGGGGAGGGGTCAACCACCTCGAAGTCCTCCAGAGGAACGTGTCTGACTGCGACAGGAAGCTTAACGCTGTTCTCAAGCTCCTCCTCTCTTCCTCCGACAAGTCGGCAGTGGGGGAGGAGGTTCTGAAGAAATTTTCCCTCGACAGCCTCCTCAGCCTCGTTCCTCAGCCTCCGACGCACGAGGAGAGCAGGAAACAAGTTCCCATCACCACCCTCCTTCCCGTCCAGTCCTCCGGCCTCTCCCCTCTCCGCAAGGAGCGAAAGGTTCGAAGCCAGCGCACGCCCAGCTCAGAGAAGAGTTTGCAGTCCCTGGAGGCGAGAAAGGAGGCGATGTCCAGCATCAGCATCTCCAGCGACTTCGTGCATCTGCTGCAGAACGAGGAGGAGGAGGAGGAGGGGAGGAGAAGGTCGAGGGAGATGCATGACGAGGAGGAAGGGGGACGGCAACAGTTTGTGACCCATCTGGACTCTTGCGGCCTCACCATGATCAAAGTTCCGCGCAACCTGATCAACACAAGACTACTGGGCGCCCCTGCAGACAGCAACGAGGTCTCTCCTCCTTCCTGCAACCTGCCTATTTCTTCCTCCTCCTTCTCTTGTCTCCT